TGCAAGCCTTCAGCAAGCCAATGCTAAGGGAACATTAACTGCCTACTGTGAAAAGCAGCCAGCAAACTGGAATTCTGCTCTGGTGCATTGCAAGCTACATCTGAACTTGCCCCTCAGCAGTGGACCCTCAGTTGCCCATTGCCACGTTGATATAGGAATTCCCAGCCTCCTCCCATTCATGTCCCATGCAGAGTCATCCAGGGACCATTCCTAATAAAGAATCTGCATCTGCAATGCATCCAGAGCGGCACAGCTCAATACTAACGGGCATATCCTCACGTGTCAGCAGGGCCTAGGCACATTTCATTTAAAGTAAGTTGTTAGCAGAACTGTGATAACACAAGTGAGAAGGACAAAGTTTTATGTGGCATTCATCAAATCCTGGCTTTCTTTACATCAAAGTGAATTTTACTTTGCAGCCTTAGCTGGCCAATGCCCTCCCTGCTGTTGCCACTCCATTGATACCATGTGCAGTCACACAGTTTCAGGAGGAAGTTACTTTTGCCGTGGTGCTGATGAGGGCAGAAGATTACTACAGTTACATCTGTGTAATTGGACTGCTGCTAAAACAGATATACATATATTTAAATCCTATTTACAACTCCATGTCCTACACAGTTTAGGGTTCAGGCACTAGAAGGGAAGAAAACAAAGGAGGTAAAGGTCTGGGACCAGTAAACTTTTCATACAGATGAAATTTTGCGTCTTGACTACATTAATTCACACAAAACCCACCAGCACTGAAATATTTTACTACCTGAAGAGACGCCATGAGATTATAAGAATTTCACCGAGGCGCAGCAATCACCTCAGAACACATCTCAGAATTACTGTCTCAGTCTCCCTTCAGATTCAGCATAATTCAGGGCATGATTACAAAGTTCCTCCCCAAAACAGCAGACAAAATCTAATGGATTGCAAGCTGTCCTTGCAAGATGTTCCCACTTATAAGGGATATCAAAACCGCAAGCAAAATTAAGACTTTTGGCAAGTCCAGAGTTACTGCATGCTCCAGACAGCTAAAGGGAAAAAGAAAATGATTAAGTTAGACTCATTTCAGGAGAGATTTGAATAGTTTATTTTTGCCCAATCAGAGCCCTTCAGCATAATGACACATTCATATACACATATATGAACATCTTTTTCTGAAACATTAATGTATAATACATTTTAAATTTAAAATACCAGCTGCACAGGTATTTTTATTTACAAAAATATTCCATACTTAATTTTTTTTTTTTAACTTTGTTATGATGACATAGTTCAGTTCAAGTACATGTAAGTAAAATAACTCTATGCAATCTAACATAGTTGTGTTTGTAACAGTACAGTTTGCAGTTCATATGAAACTATATTTGTAGACAGATGGATTTGCAACCCTACCTAAAAATGCATATTCCAGTAATCACCCTCAGAAGAGCTAGTGGGGCTCAGCAAGATTCAAATGAAAATAAGTTGCAATGAACAAAGAAAAAACATACATGTACACATTAAGATATACATAAACGAGAACTGCTACACTTCAAGCATGCTTACCCACAGGTGGGCAATGTTAGAAAAATTTACTGATTCTTCCCTCCTCCCCCTCCCCCCCCCGTGATGCTGGTACAATGAAGCAGTAGCATAACTAGAAAGCAGCATGTTTTCCTAGTTCTAACCACTACAGATAGCAGAGCTCAGGTCTAAAATAACGTAGTACTGCTTATTTACAGTTCTTTTTTTTTTTAAAAGGGAATATTTAAAACATGTTCCCACCCCACGCCCTTTGCATCACCTATTAACTGAATGGTAGTGGTAATCCACATACAACTCCTTACGTATTTTCAACTGAAACAGTTTAACTTCTGGTTATTTTTTGCCTGGTAATATGTAACTTAGGTACTAATGAAAACAAAAGCAAGTGTCAAAAAAAACCTATGTCTGTATGACTTAAACATTCCTAGGCGTGTTACATAAAAAACCAAAAGGATTGCTGATTGACACCTTTCTTTTGACTGCTGTATGTTTCCGCCTCCTTTCTTCTTTACTAACACCAACATCTTTCAGCCTAAATCTTAGAGAGTGTAGAAGAACACAGAAGCACATTACACCCATTGGCTTGGAACAGCAATAAAACAGATTATAGATAGCACATCTTTATAACACGCATAAGAAAGAGAAACTGGCCCAGCTTAAATTAGCTTCTCAATGAAAACTCAAATAAGACCAGTGCACTTGATTCACCTACCCCATACATTTTGTTTTACTCCCTCTCCTCCAAATATCATTCCTTTTGTCTACAAAGTACGCAAAAACTTCATGGTAGCAGCGCAGCCATCAACATCTGCCCAGAAAGACTTCAATAAGTTATGCAAGAGATCAGCTAGTATGAAGAAGAATCCCACTGACAAATCACCCTGTAAACTTGCAGAGGTTGGCAAGTCCTTGCGCATCTTTCCCACCACACACCCCTCTTTGGAGTATGTGGAACTGTGATGAGAAAGGGGAAAGGGGCACTTCAGTCACAGGCTATAGGTTTTTCGACACACATTTGGAATACAGAAAAAATGATTTACATGTAAAGAGCTGATGTATAAAAGAAGAACTTGTAGATTAGTCAGATGAAATCTGCACTGGACAAACCTCACGTAGATTTTTGGAAACTTTAAGAGTCCAAAGGATATAGCTGAAAATTCTTGCATATAATCATTTAAAATTAAAAAGAAAAGTCATGGAAAGTTGGACAGCCACAGACTGCAGCTGGTGAGAGAAGAATGATGCTCCATTGGTTTTCTGAATGCACTATCTTCCCCCTTTGTACTTAGGGAAATTTTAAAGAACGTTCGAAATGGGAAATAAAAATAAGTATGATTATTTTCTGCAAAGCAAAATGGGCTATTTGTTTTCATTGCTTAGTAATTGTATCATCTCGATATGAGATATGAATGTATTCGTAAGCTTAAAACAACTTCTTCTATGGATAATATACACACTTTAAGTACTTTGACTTAAAAATTGAACATAAGTCTTTTTAAAATTAAAGGTAGAAGTGTACATATAAAAATTATTTAAAACTAAAAGTATATTCTTAAGCAGTATGTATAAATATAACAGATTTTTATTGTATTATCTAGTAACAAATCTGAAAGTGTTGCAGTAATTTATAAACTCAATGCTGACACAGGATAAGTGCTTTTCATTAGATTCTATGTTGTATATACTTGTATATACATATTTTGCTAAGAAAACACACATTCTAAATTATAGTCACATAATTAGCAAATGTGCCCCAAAGTAATCTGCTCTAAACTCTTCACTGAATGTGTGCACTTATATACAAATAATGAACCTGAATTGCACAAATGTAGAAACAAAATTAAGGAATAAAATACCATGACTGAATTAAAGTGCAGGAAAAATTCAAGTTTAAACATTCAGGTAAGATCAGTGCTATTAATTAAGCAAAAAGGAAATTAAAAGAAAAAAAAAAAAAAAAGGAAAAGAGTAAAGGAAAATGAAAAAGGAGATGAAACTTGCTTCCAAAATCCTCCTTTGGATGTAGCTTTCTAACATCACCTGTCATGTAAATACCACCTCAGGCAAAAATCTTTGTATATAGACAGACAAAGAGCACAACTATATATTACTACATTTGAAGAACAAATCACTGGAGATGCCTGTGGTGTAACACTTTCAGACTTATTTGGAATACACGCATATTTACACATATCAACATTCAGAAGTTACAATTTGGCAGGACTAAGGTGAAGAAAAGCTTCTTCAGTTTACGGTTCCTAATGAGACACACTACACATAAACAGATAGGTAGCAGCAGTTTCTTACACTTCGATCAAAAAAATAAAAAAGTAATAGCTCAATTGCATCTTGTAATTTTCCAGACACTCTAAAAAAGTTTCACACAACTAAAATGCTAGCAAAAAAAATCAGGGGTGCTTCCCCCTCAAAAGGATTTTAATGTACTTTGCTGTACAGAAGGTGCACCACCAAGAGCAGAATAAGATACGTCTATGATCAACTTCCTTCCACAGAGAAGGAAAAAGAAACATTTTACACTGAGATTGTACGTAGCCCCTGTTATTGACCAAGAACCATTTTCGTATTCATCTCACGATCTATCCTTTCTTTAGCTTTCATTCCTAGAAACACGTGCAACAAAAGATTCAAGCACGATAGATTCTGTAATACCAAACAAACCTCTACTCTCCCCTGGCACATGGTCTCTCACTGCCTCATTTTTTGCTTGCTGGTGGTCAACAAATGTATCTCAATGGAAAAGTTCAGTATGCATTTCTTCCAAGCCAAGGTCATCTTCCTTTGAAATTATAAGACAGTTTTCTGTGTATTTATGCCATCTCCCATTCCCCCCAGAGACTAACCAGACTAATTTTTCAGGATGTTCTGAAATACGGTTTGTATTTCACCAAGTATTATTTCACCAATTTCAATAATAATCGGTCATTCCAATTTATGAATGTGAGAAAAGGAAGGATGCACAATATCAGGTAGGGTAGGGTTTTTTTTTTTAAATTGTACGACCATAATTTACCTGGACTTTAAACAAAATCGTACTGTTTTAAATATGCATTAGTTGGACATAAAATAGGCAGAGGCCAAAAGTACACGTAGAAAGCAGAGTTAAGTAACCAGAGCTAACATTGCCTCAATAGATATGGTAGAGAGACGTCAAGAAATCATAATGCTGCACATTCAGATGGTGATGTTCAAATACCTGAAGGTCCTTGAACAGCTCACATGGTATTGTATGCCCTCATACTGACAACAAAAATTCACTTATTTTTACCAAATGCCACAACAGATCCTCATCTACTGTGTGGCAACCCTCCCCACAGCACGAGTGGTGATCTTTAAGGTCCCTTGCAACTCAAGCTATTCAATGACTGAGAAAATCATAATATTTATCAATTTGTGCTACAAAACCCAAAGTGCATTTGCTGGGATGAGTGACAAATTTTAAAAATGAATTAAGAACCATTATTAGCTTTACTATTTGGCATCTTTTTAATGTGCATTGTAAGGATCACGTATCTACATACCTGAAAAATAACTTTAAAATACAAATTATAGCCTATGTTCGGCTTGAGTAACATTTGGAATGCGTGTGAAAAAAAAACACACATATAATGTGGTACTTGGACAAGCAGGCTCAAATGATTTCAGACCATATTGCAAGAAATGGCCTACAGAATGACCTACCAGCTTCTAAGCATTCCCTTTTGTAAAATAAAAACAGTCAGTAACTACTCCTGCCTTTCTGAGGAAAACGGAGGCCAAATTCATTTTTGAAATGCAAACATTTATTTTAAAAGACCTCTGGTCAACCCCACTGTTGCAGCTTCAGTGCAGCACCCATTAACATGTTCACTCAGCTAAATTATTTACCTCACCCAACTCAATGATTATTTCACCAATTTTTGAAGTTGTAGTGGACACATTATTTCCCACATAACTGAAAACACCGCTTTAGAGACTAAACCCAAACTTCAGGCAAGCTGCCTTTAGCACGTGGTGGGGCTGAGATAGGTACTTGTAAAATAGCTCTACAAGCAGGATTTAGAAATCAGCTGAACAATATCCTGACAATTATTGAATAGTAGATGCTTGCCTTTATTCATGCATCAGCACCTCCACGGTGTGTAAAAGTGATTGAAAACCTGAGTACAAGATTATCTGATTTAATAGTAAAGGATTAAAGGGGCATCCAGAACTTAAGTTTTAAGCAAAACTATCCCAGCTATTTTAATTAATGGCTGTAAAGATACATTCTGTTAAAGTTCTATAAAAATTCACAGCATGAATAGAACCCACAGCCAATTCTAAACATTACACGAACTGAACCAATAACTATTTTTGGCAAAAAGTAATATGAAACCAAACTAAAGTTGAAGTATTCTTACCACAATGAATATGTTACCACATTTCACACTGCACATCCATAACACAAATGAAAATTCCCAGCATGACACATTCCAGTCATATTCACTTGACTTCTTTTAATGCAAAAACTGTGTATTCTCTTGGTTTGCACTTCACAGAATATGATGTGAATACAAGAATACCAGATTGGGGTCCAAGAAAAGACTGCACAGGTCAACTATGTATACAATTTTCAACATGAAATCTTCCAAGCTTCCAGCTTTTCTGATGAAAGAAATGACAGCAAGCTTCCGCTCTTCTTCAACAATAATGGTAAATATAGTGAGTCCTAGAGAGGGTAAGCCTAAGTCAGCTACTGTCCTGCAAGACAAACAACTTTATTCCAGCTTTTGGACCCCTGATTTATTGCCTCTCCTCACAGGGAGGGTATAACACTGGCAGCAAGTACAACAGCACAAAAACTTTTGGCATGAGATATTAACACAGGATTGACCCTGAATTGCCCCTGCCCATCACACCACATTCTTCCTTTATGTCTTTTCCACATATTCCAATTACCTGCTCTGTATTCCAACTCTCAGCTATCCAACAGCGAAGAAACACTCAGCTTTTCTATCTTTGTGTGTGTTTCTCTTATATATAAAGCTCCTCAGTTAAAGCCATGGCTGAGGTAAAACAGTGTGTGATTTGTGCTAGAAACAACATCATCCAATGTTGAATACTCCTTTAAATTTCAATGTTCCTGTCAAAATTAATGAAAACCAAGATTTTTTCATCAGGACAAAATTAAACGATGTAATCAATGAGCATCATCAGAACTGGTACCACTTCTTGTCTTTGTACTTCAACATCATCTAAAAAAAAAAAACGACAAACAGTTTCTAATTAATGTCTCTGTTATGCACCAAAAAGTACGATACAAATAAACTGTACATTTATGAAGCCTCATTATTGAGCAGTGAGTGTTTGGCACAATAAATTTTCTAAGGTTGACATCTCTGCTGATCTTCTGGTCTCTGATAGAAAAACAATTTTGAGAGAACAGGAGGGTTGCGCAGGAGTTTGGGGCATGGAAAGAGATCTGCATGAACACTTAAGAAAATAGCTATCCTTTTTATTAACTGAGGGAAAAACAAGCTTGGATTCATGGAATCTGCATATAACTGGATCTTTCTTAGGTACCACAGGACTCCCACAGAGAGCATTACTAATTTCGTAAGGCCTGGAGCACAGGCCTTATGAGGAGTGGTTGAAAGAACTGGGATTGTTCAGCCTGGAGAAGAGGAGGCTCAGGGGAGACCTTATCACTCTCTATAATAACTTGTAGTGAGCTGAGGGTTGGCCTCTTCTCTCGTGTAACTGGTGATAGGATTAGAGGGAATGGCTTCAAGCTGCACCATGGGAGATTCAGTCTGGATGTTAGGAAATACTACTCTGAAAGACTGTTCAGGCACTGGAATGGGCTGCCCAGGGAGGTGGTGGAGTCAACGACCCTAGAGAGGTGTTCAAGGAATGTTTGGATGTTGTGTTGAAGGTTTAGAGAGAACTATTGGTGATAGGTGGATGGTTGGATTGGGTGATCTTGTAGGTCTCTTCCAACCTTGGTGTTTCTGTGATTCTGTGATTATCTAATTCAGTGACAAATTCATTCAGTAATGGGAAACAAGCAGCCCTTTTGGAAGTCTACATACTACTCAAATAGATGGCCTACCCCAGACCACTGTGCCAAAAGACAAAGCTGCTTACCTTAATACTTAGGAGAAACAACTGCTAAATAAAAAATGACAATGTATTCCTTTTAGACTTCTTTAAAATGCCTTTAAAGCAGAAGTCAGTTACTTGTAAAGCTTATAATAGTCAATCAATGTAATACTCTCAGTTTAACATGCAGTGAAATTACCTCATGAGCATGTTTAGAGAAAGAATCAGCACTGTACAGCATAGCTGCGGTTTTTTCTTCCAGTTCTCCTAGTTTCTGTCCTCTTTCATCCAGCGCCAACCGGGCTCGTGCTAATTCCCCAACTACACCAGATGCTGCTCCTTTGACACCTTCAATACCTCCAGGACCTGGAATATGCTGGGCAAGACTTCTTGATGCCTTCCCAGACGCTGATTCTCCAACTGGAGGCATTTTCAAGGCAGAAAAAGAGAGAAGTAAGGTTTCTTATCATTATTACATAAACATTAATGTAACTGATTTATAAAAAAGCTGGGTTTTTTTCATGTACCTCATCATAAGCATGTATATGAGCAATATTCACTACTCTGTTTAATCAAATTGAGATTTTAAAACATATTTCAGAGCTTCCAGGCATGTTATACAATTTTAACCTTGTCAAAACTCAAGTGTGAAAGTAAAATGCTCACAACAGTGGTGGCATCACTGTAATTAACAGAATTATATCGGCAAAACAGTTTTTAAACAACATAGCTTGCTTCACAGGGAGGTGTTATGAATTCAGCAAAACAGGAGAACTTTGCTTATACAAGCTGTGGTCTATTCTCTAATGGCTTTGCTGATATAGTCAGAGAGTATGATTCTATCAGCGTAAGTTTCCTTTGGTGGAAGCTCAGTTTTAGATTCAGACATGGAACAATCACATATTATGGCTCCCCTTACATAACAGACCATGCTATTAAAAAGAAAGTAACGTACATAAGGAAAAGATCAGTTCATCTAAAAATAAACACATAATTTGTAAACTGAACAGCTATCACTCTAGTGACTGTGCTGACTATATCTCCTTTGCTCTTAATGGGACATCAGCCGCCTTGTTCAGTCTAGACCTTTAATGGAGGTATCAATCTCTCTCAAGCTGAAATGTATACTCTACAGAAATTTGAGGAGGCCCCAAATGGTCTTTTTGGGTGCTAAAGTAAAATAAGCAGATGATTTATTTTGTAGCTCTGTTTTTTAAACAGTGCAATTATAGTTAACTTCTTTTTTTCCACCTCTAACAATGAATGTTTAACAAATCTTATTGCAGAATTTCAGGTTTCCGATTTCATGCTTCTAAAAAGAAAAAAATTCTTTTCAACTATCACTATAAACATTTCTTTTCTTGAGAAGCACATCTGAAGTCATTTCACTTATTACAGGCAGATTCTGCCATGATCCTCATGTTAAGTACTAACACTTCAAAGACATTTTCAGATGTCCCAGTTGTCACTGAACTCATTTTCAGGTCACAATTCATCCAGCTTTCCTCCCTGTTCAGTATTTTCCTTCTGACAATTCAAACCAAAACAGTTTTCTATTGTAAACCACAAAGCCTAAGATGATTATAAAACCCATTTGTGATATCCTTAAAAATAGGTCAGAAGAGTCAATGCAGTATGGTGAGAACTCACAGTGATGGAAAAAGATAATCTTTCAAGTGTGGTTTTCTTTTGCTGTGAATGGGCAGTTTTTTCCTGCCCTGGTTACACTAGTTAGATGTGTAACTTCTACATGCAGGTTTCTCTGTATCGAATAATCGAATAACTTGATCAACCTTTCAAAACATTATATGTTTACAATTGCAAATGTAATATTTAAATTGGAAAATGTCTCTACCTATTTGATATATGCAGGCATATTCAAAATATAAAGGCATTAGAAATAAACATTAATTATTGGTTATTTTCATCTGACAAAAAAAAAAAGAAGAGATTGTGAGGAATCTTTTTTTGTTTTATAACAGTATTTCATGCTGAGAAGGGAACAGTTCTCTAAACCAATAGAAGTTACATTACATAATGTTTAATCTGATAAATACATGACTAAGTAGAAGTTCATTTACTTCCCCTTGAATGTATTCAAATAGTGCATACAACCAACAAAAGATTTATTAAATCTGTATTCAAAAAGCAATGAGAAAATTATAAAGCAATACAATTTTGGACACATGTGAAATGTATCATCCAGAACTGAATGAGATATCATACAGTTCTGCCCTCTATTTTATTCCTAAGATACAAGTCAAACGTTGAAAAAGAATCTAGGAAATTAACGGAAGTATAATAGAGTTAATTTTCTTAATTTGCACTGTCCAAAACAGTGCTCTCTAGAACCAGCCTCTTTCAGTTTAGCAACATTAAGAGAATTATAGACAGTGCTATATACACTTGAGATAAATAAGACTGGTTGTCCCATTTATTGCTTTATCATCCAATCCTGAATAAATGACGTAAGGCAGTCTGTGAGAAAACAGTAACTAATTTTTTGCTATTGTTGGTAAGTTGTACAACATATAAAGCTATAAAAAAGTATTTAAAAAAAAGCATTGTTTCTCCTCATTCCATTCTTCGGTTTCCTCTTTGAAAACTGAATGTCCTATTAGCACAGGCAATATCTAGGTGGAAATAACAGATTAATAAGGAATTCAAAAGACTTACAGAGTTCTTCTCTGTCAAGTGACTGTGCCCCACCTCCAAAGAGGCCTTTGAAGAACCCTCTGTTTGGTGCTTCTGGTGTTTCAACAGGAGTGAAGAGCTCACCTAACATTTCCTTGGCAATGAAGAGATACAAGAAGGCATACATCATTTCATATACAAATTAATGGAGTACTCTGTCACTTTGGACATTTATTTTGTGGATGTGAATTTGAATATGCTTTAATGTGCATCTGCCTTTGCAGTAGATAGCTGACACTATTTAGGAAGTAACAATAAAAAACTATTAGGAAATCTGTCCAAACCATCTGTCCTGACAATTGCAAGCTTACAGCTCAGGAATATTTTCAAAAAAATGTGCTCAAGCAAAGCTTTATTCTCCCTTCAACTTGGGAAACACTCTTGATCTTGTTCAGTTGAAACTGCAGCTACAAATAATCACATGCACGGGTAGCATCAAAGCAGAGCCTGCAGACTGATTCTGCTATATCCACCTTCTATACAACTTGCAGGCTGAAGCATTGTTGAGAATCTGTTCAAACTGTTAATATCCTGGCAACAGAATAGCTTCCTTGTATCTTAGTATTCCCAAATTATGCCTGCATGCATCTCCACTAGAATTACTTGAATAAGAGTTCTATTAACTGTACATATTAAACAAAGATACATACAGACTAAAAAGGAAATTAAGACACATTCCAAATACAAGAGGATGGATAACAGTACAACGTAAAGAGTGGGGGAAATGATTCACTCTGAGTAAGACTTGGCAGTAAGCAAAATCAAACCATAAGAGACAAATTTAATTATTATAAGTACTGTAAACTTAAAACTGAACTACTTGGAGGACAGCAAATTGTTTAAAGACAGCAAATTTGGTTTTTTTTATTCATTACCTGAAGATTTTCACATGTTTCTTGACTGTAGGTGAGCCTCTGTATTTCAGTTGGTGAGACAAGATAGAGTGCTTGTCCATTATTGGTGAAGCAGAATGTTCTGGCTATTCGCATATTAGTGAGTGGCAGGTAATACACATCCAGCAATGGCCTTAAGCTTGGCAAACTTAAGAGAAAGAATTACAAAAAGTAACAGGACGTCGCATTATTTTTCTCCTCATGGTCACACAAATACTGTATAAACAGGGCATCATTTAATACAACTAGAAAACCTGCAAACATAAATATGCAGTACTCTAAGGAAGAACCTGAAGAGAGAAACTTAGACATCTGCATCACAAATGCATTCAAAAGCATCATTTCAATGATATTCTGAGTATGTAAATCTCAGGTATAGTTAAAGCATTATTCAGTAATTACTAATGAAATATTTTAATAAATTTCTACTTTTTTCCCCTTCATATACAATTGTCTCTTCTCTCAGGTGAAGATTTTCTTCTTGATTGAAACTGAAACCTCAAAGAGCTGCCTCAAGAACCCAGGGAAATACATGAAGACAGTGCTTCCAAAGGAAAATTCAGTAACCTCAAACAGCATTCTTGTGAATTTATGCCTGCTCTTTCTCTTCTGACTGTGTATTTAAGGTGAAATCATCTTAAAGCATTGTTTTGCTTACCTTGTTTGTTCTGTTTTCTACATACATAAATGAAGAACTTACTGCATTAGGCTACTGAAGAACAGATGCTACGCATTCATGCTGTAATAACGCTCAAGCTGCTAAACATTTCTCTCCTCAAAGAAACACTAAATGAAACTAAGAAGTGACTGAATGCCTTATGTCTTGATAACAAAACCTTAAATGAACCCATATCTCAAAAATACTCTCTGGGAAATTTTTGTAAAAATAGAATTCACATGTCAGCTGCACATTTATCAGGAATATATTAAGCAGCTTCTGCTGCAGATACAATCTGCCTAAGATTATTATTTCTAAAGAGTAAAAAAGCAGTAAAGGGGGAAACTGAAGCTGAAACTTATGATATAGGAAAAATACCATGCAGGCTAAAATAAGTTTTTTGTCTTCTGCTCTACTTCGTGGTGATATCAAAACTTCTGAATGTTACGCTGGCATTTTACTGGGTGTTGTCCAATAGCAGGAGACTCACAAAGAAAAGGAAGAATAATAAATAACATGAGTTCAGTGGCAAATTCTACATTCTATTTTCTAAGAAATAGAAAGCAACGCTCTTCTGTAAGCACGCTACCAGCGATAACACATTTGTCCAGCATGCATCTAAAATAGAAATATTCCTAGGATTATACTAGTAAGAGGCAACCTGCTTTGCCACAGTTTTTTTCCCCTCAATTACTACTCCGAATGAAAAGAGCATTTGTAAACATTTAAGAAAAGGAACAGGTAAAAATTAAATAGATGACATTAGTACCTTCAAAATTACTTCTATGCATATTTCAGTAAATGAAACCTCTCAATGTTTATGACTTTTTTGTACTAGAATTGCTATCAATTAATCTGACCTTTGAGACATGAGCAAGCTACAGAACAAAACAGAAAGCTCAAGACATGACTGAGAAGCAGACAGGACTGTAGCAGCTGCACAAAAATATGCAGAGCTTGGTCAGCTGAAGGTCTGATTCAGGACAGGTTTTTCCAACAAGGAGTAAATTCATTGTTGAGACAATTCTCAACAGTTCAAAAACCTATATAACGCTTGGAATTAATTGTTGAATTATGTTAACGAGTTAAAATGATAAACTTGTTAATGATAATGATAAGCTTGCGTTAAAGGCAGAATACTTAATCAAAATATTCAGCTCCCGATGTTAGAGGTTCATTATCATCTGAGCTGACTGCCCATTTTATTCATATTCTTCTGGAAAAAGAAATTTTCATCTAGGAGGAGACTCATATCTTATATATGTATATATTCATAAATATTACTGTCAATTATACCTTACCTAAAAGCCATAATATGTCCATTGGCACAGAAACATGCAAGGCAAATACTGTTACTCAATGATACTATATCTCCACGAAGAACGAAAGAAGTCTCTGTTATGTTATGCTTATAAATACAGTTCTGGGATGGCAGTGAAATAACTTTTGCTTGCTTTTCAGAACATATCACTGCATATTGGTTTTCACTGATTTCCTGAGACGATGAGGGGGACACTGAGACCGGTCGTCGCTTTTTCGATTTATCTTTTTCATCTTTATCTTCAGAAACATTGTGTTCTCTCCAGGGTTCATGTGCAGGTGGGACTAAAGATCCCGTGGTATCCAGAAAAGCCATTCTCAAGATTGCCCCTTTTAGCCTCAGGATGGTTCCTGGGAAATATAAATAGAGCACATTTCTATAACAGTCCTGAATTGTCATTCAAACTAAAAAAAATACTCCTTAAAGAAGCTAGAAGAATGAAAACTAAACTAGAGCGAAGACTTGCCTCTATCAAAACAGACTTAAAATCTCTGGACTTGAAGCATGTACAAGTGCACACAAGTGCATTCAATAAATTATTAAAACAGTTCTCAAAGTTTAAATACATAGGCATATACTCCATTAACATCAATGTAAATGTATTTATTAGGAGAACAAAGGTGGAACGCACATTTATACTAAATCTCATTGTCAAGCACAACTCATTTCATTCTCTCTGGAGGAACGCCCTGTGCACTCAGTATGTACCATAAACACAGTTAGTGAGAACTTTTCCTTCAAAATGGGTTCAGAAACTGGCAACTTGTTTTATTTTCTTTTTTCTTTTTTCCTGTATTTACATTTGAATCTACTTCTCTCTAGCATAAAATGAAAGAAAATGTTTTCCTTCTCAACTGTTTTGCGTGTCCAATTGTAGGCTGATACATTTCTTCTTTCACTCATTTAATCACACAGAAGCAGAAACAGGAAAACTTATTAAATGCACAATAAATCATACATACTGCAGCATTTTGTAAGGTTCATGCTGCAGCTCTGATGATTCAACATACTGTCAAGTCTATTCCCTTGTCTTTAACATAAAACATTACCAAATCTGAATACTGTTAATGCAAACATGGTCTAGTGATCATATTATTCATATCACTACTTCAGTCAAATAGGGGTGCAATTTTTCATGTTCAGATGCCATCTGGGGGTTCATTGTAAAGGAGAGCATCACACTCTGCAATGAAACTGTGGTAGTAGGAAAGCCAAATTTATTCCTAACAGTGTATTATTCAGCTTTTTATCTTAGTTTAGGTATCACTCAAAAAAAAAGTTAATATATCATTACAACAAAATTATTTGCTGTGTACCAGTAAAACAAAACAAGATATCTCAGTAATTCAAAGGAATATTTCATTACTAATAGTTGAAGTACTAAAGTACATAGCCCTTAGTTTTTATTTTTTTCATTATTCACTAAAATCTTCTTATGTTGCAATTAGGAAATACTCATAATGCACATTTCCACTGCTCAATAATAGTCACTGACTACATGAACGCTAGAAAGTCTGCTTTTCTTAACACGTATAGTTACATATTTTTATACCTTATAAGATCGTATTATCAACTTTGCAACTTTAAAATACTGGTCATAAAGAAAGCAACCTAGATTGTTAAACTTATTAGCTAGTACATATTAATTTCCAATTAATCCATAATTGAGAAAAAGTTTATTAAAAAAAGCATGAAGGACAACAACACTTTGCAGCCTTGAGTACCCATCTACTTTGTACTCACCACTAGGAGAAACAATAACAGGCTGAAGAAGTCTTTGCTCTCCTCCTGGGGGTAGGTTCAGTACAATGACAAGCACTGTACCGAGGGTGGTACCGACCCACAGGCATGGAGAAGGTGATGTATCAGCCTTTCTTGTGAAAGTTTCACAGAAATGAAGAGCTGAAATTGCCTCACGTGACTCTTTGTCAATGCTAGTTACACTAGAACTCCTGGATCGGCTGAAAGAGTTGTCTTTAACATCTGAAAATAAATCAGTATTAATTAATAGAACTAAATATAGGAATTAAGAAAATTAAGATTTGTTGTTTAGCATAAAATATTATGCATCATTCTATTGATTTTTACAACTATTTTACTTTTCCTTAATTGTATCTCCTTCTGATATGGTTTCCAGCATTTTATTCTGAACAAAGCATCTCAGATTTGCAGAGATAGCAATCAGGTAATTTCATGAATGACTTATCACAGAATGGACTATGTTAGAAGAGACCTTAAAGATCACCTAGTTCCAACCTTCTGCTGTGGGCAGGGCTGCAACTAACTAGATCAGGCTGCCCAGGGCCCCATGCAACTTGGCCTTGAATGCCTGCAGGGGTGGGGCATCCACACTATGGGCAACTTGTTCCAGTGCCTCACCACCCTCATTGTGAAGTTTCTATCTAATCTAAATCTTTTTTTTTTTTTTTTTTTTTTTAAGACTCTCATTATTTGCCCTGTCACTATACTTCCTAGAAAAGAGACATCCAGACAGCCTGATAATCTGTAATGACTCTCAGTACTGTCCCACTTCAGTAAACTGTCCAGAGGAGATCTTGGGCTATTAACACACACCTGAAGTTTTAATCAGAGAAGCATTCAAGGCTACCAAACACCACTTGGAACTGGTATGCAAAGCTAAAGATTTCTGTTTTGAATACAATGTGGCACCAAAACTTTTCAGGATGTCTTATTTTCTGCTTAGTAAGTAACTTCCTCTTTACATTGTGAATTCATATACTCACAAAAACCATCAAATTAGAAATCATGCTGCTCTATTCTAGCCATGTGCTGTGTGCATGTGGCAATACTTAATACATCAGCATGTCTGAATCTAACTGCACACTCTCTAATTAATGCTTTGCTTTCTCAATACATAATTCCAAAATTTTAGCACTAGACAATCCTTACCAGCACAAGTCTGATGCATGTCATATCATGACTTCCTAAAACTAAGTTAACATTTGTGGATCTTTGGATGGAGTATGGATGCAAGTGACATTTCATAAGCAGGACTTAAAGTATCAACATACCAATTTCATTAAACGATTGCAGAAATTTCTACAAGGAATTACATTTGAAAAAACATACAAACTAAATTTCAACTGAGTGAATGCAGACATCTAAAAATATGAACAATATCACAGGAGAGACTTATCTCACTCCAACAAGGACAGAAAAATTCTTGTCCTGATTATTCTTACTTAGTTCAAGTGTAAAATACCAATCATTAAGAAGGTCAACACCCAAATGCTGACATCAAGTTTTCATATTTAAAACCAATGTCTAGAAAAAGAAGTCAAATCAAATGGAAGAAAGTCTAATCATTGAAAATGATGAAAAAGATTGTGTTTTGTAATTCTTCTGATGACCACAACCTCTTAAGATGCTTCTTTAAGGTTTGAATATCTACTTGCTTTTTTTTTTTTGTAACTTTAACAGATTAATCACTCTGAATATAGTCAAACATTTGAATTTTGCTGACATTAAAACACATGCTTTGATAAAAACGCTTAGGTAGTTTAAAAGGTTAAAAAAAAAAGCTGGAATATATTGATACATCCAGAATATAAAAATGCAACTCAACTGTAAACTTTTTTCATAAAGAAAAGCTAACCCAAATCCTAGCAGCTTAGCAGAACTTCAGGGTACATGTGGTTTCTTTAATTCCACTCCTCTGACTTATGATTTGTGAACATACTTTCTGTATGCCTTAGTTCAGGTAAGAGCCTTCCCCTTTTCCCAAGAAAAATACAATTAATGCAATAGGCATAACAGGTATATTTCTTCGGCTGCAGCCGCTTGAACATCTGAAAAGTATACGTACAAATTCCAGATGTATTGAAAAAAATGTCAACAAAAATTAACTGGTCAGACAATACAGGCACTGTGGAGAGCAGACAATTGATCCACGGAAGACAATGGAGTAAAAGGCTTAACTGTATTAATGTGTATTTGTTTACCCTGAAGACACAGAAGAATCTATGGTTTGTTAATGGAATATTTTCAAATGAAGAGGAAGGAACAATGATGTGATGTCTCACTACACACCACTTCATCAGAAGGAAGGAAAGATGAGGATCTTCTGAGCAAATAAACTAAAGGATAGGATTTAGTGGTAATGGTAGTAACCAGCTGAGTTACAACAGTGCAAAGTAATGGTATAATGCAGACTAGAGCATGATGAAGACAACTTCCGTTTTAGGAAGGAGGATGAATGCAGAAGCACGCTTTGTTTTAGCTACCTAGGGAGGAAGGGTGTAGGTTAAAGATCTAGTCAGAAAAGTGAGTTGAAAGAAAACGCTCATGAAAGAGTGAAAGTGATCAAGGTTCAAGAAGTCATGGAAAGAAATGAGAGAAAATGATGAAGATATTGAACTTGGGAGAAAGGCACTTCAGTTGTTCCCTTGAGCCAGTAGATATGGTCACATAATTAATCAAAAAAGCAAAAATATAATTAAGTTGACAGTTACTAAAGAACACTATGCAAAAGCTATTCTACTGGGAGAAAAGATACTAAATAAAATAAAAACAGACTATCATCATCTCAGGAAGTTATTTACAGACTTGAAGAGTAAAATAAAAAACAACTTTTACTAGAACAAAAGGAGTTTTTTAAGTGTATATAGCCACACACAGGTATAGTCAAGCAAAACCAGTGAAAGATCATTAAAATTAGATATTAAAAGATACTTTATGAATTCTCAAGAAGTGAGTTGATCAAGTAAAAGTTCCATTATATTACTAGAAAAAAAAAAAACAACAGCAAAATCACAAATACTGAGTTCTTTCTTAAAAAATCTGTTTCTAATTATTTATTATTGAAGAATTTCAAACAAAAGAATAAATAAAATGAATTCAATAATATTTAAGTGCAAATGTATCCCAGTTTGCAAAGTCTGACAAAATGAACTCTAAACTGAAATCAGAGCTAAACTGTCACTGACGGTAGTGAGGAAGGACAGACACTAAAAAGACAAATAGAATTTCTGTGCTCATTGGTGTCAACAAGGCCATGTTAAATCCTTCTAGTTCTAGGCACAAGAGCTTTAGAAAGATGAAGAAAATTTCAGTGTCCAGAAGAATTATCAAAAGGCATCCTAGTCAATGTAAATTTGCAAAGGAGAGAGAGCTTAATTTCATAAAAACAAAACAAAAAAATGCAACAAAAATGAACAAAAACAAAAATTTAAACCTATCTGCAAAAAGACAGATTAGTGATATGACAGCTCTCAACAGCTATAAGATGTCTACCAAAGAAATGGAGTTACAGTTATCTGTGATCCTCGTGGAAAGGACAAGAAAAAAATCTGAATTAGTCTGGAAATAAGGAAGATGGTTTGACTAATAATTTATTTAACTGGCTATAAACCATACACGTTGCCTGGTATTTTTCTAGAAACTTATTTATTGGAGACCCGTGAACAGATGAGAGGTTAAACTGTCAGACACTTGGATCTTCACCACAGCATTGGAGTAAATGATCTCTGAGGGCTCCTTACGGCTTTACATTTCTGAGTGGAGCAGGCTTTAACGTAAATCAGGGAGGTCCAAATCTGAAGTTTCAGGATATTCTAAATATCAACTCTTCTCTTGCTGATAGTGGTAATTTTCAAATGCATGCTTCTGCACCTACCAGTCTGCGCCTGATCTGTATTCTACAGGGGCCACGGAAGGGATTCTGCTGCAGGAACAGAAGAGAGCTGTGACAGGCAAAAGGAAGCTTTCCTACTCAGGCTGTATCTACTGCTGCAGGTCTACAGCTGTTCCTGATCATCTTCAGAGAAAAAAGCTGAGGAGCTGGATCTGATCTACAAGCTGGCAGTCAACTTTTGATGACAAAGTAATAAAAATATGTCTATTCATTTGTATGTTGTCTTAGTTTAGCAGTACAAGCTTCATAACTGAAATGCTTATTATGTAAAAAGAATACTTTTTCAAAAAAATGAAAGTCTCAGACCGGCTGTCCATCCAGCAAACAACTGTATATCATTTTCTTTTATAGAAAGTGGTCTTAATATCATTAACACTTGTAAAAACATGTCCAACTTTTTCTCGGTCCTCAGCATATCCTCATTCCTAAATACTGTATTGTGCAATTTGAAAAGTATTGAATGGCTTCAAATTGGCAAGCAATTTTCCTTACAATAAATTACCTGCTTATTCACACTTTTCCTATCACAGCACTACTGTAAGAGTGACAGACGCCTAAAAAAAAAAATCACAAAAATGTGATAAGCCATGGACAAAATTTGCAGGCTTACCTTACAATGACAGCAATGATGTTTGTGCCAGGGAGCCCCCCGAAAGACTGGAATTTAAATTTAAGTTCTACAGTTCAAATAAAGCAACTCAGTCACAATAATTTACATAACCAAGGATTCTTACTTGTATGTATTCACATTCTGTAAAACAATTTCAGTAAATATAAAATTCAACTCTGTAAACTTACCTAAATCAGGCTTTAACTCAGTTGGCAAACTTAGCTTCCTGGACATCTTTGCTGAAAAGTGAAGTATATCCTTTTTTTAAAAAGAATAAACACAATTCTGCTGGCCTGCATTTGCCTCATTCCAATTATTTAATGTATCGTTGTTTATAACATTAACTGCAGTACTTAACAGGATTTCTGCTAAAGCAGAACGTCACTCTCACAAATGAGGCATGCAAAGTAGAACACGGAAGCCACTGTGATCCCCAAATATAGCATTTTATTACTTTTGCCAAACTTCATTTCCCCTTAGATGTCTGAAATAACTTGATATATTGGATGAATTTGGTTTGGCTCAAATTCAAGATTTATCTCTTCAGGTAAAAAGAGATAATACAGACTCTCAGCTACTACAAGAATGCACATTGAAACTTTCATAAAGTTCACGTCCCATCCACTCTTCTGCCCTACTTCTTGATCAAACCTGAGATACTTAAAATGGAGAAAAGATTAAATTTTAATTACTCTAAAATGTTAATGTAAACGCGTAAAATAAGCCAGTAATCTGAGATGCGATCTGCAATCTTAGAAGAACGAAGAAGTTACAAAGAATTTTAAAATGAGCAGCATACAAACTCCTGTAACACTCAAAGAGTCACATTTTAGCAATACTGTGAGGAAATAAAGCATGCATCCAACATGCTGCTGAAATAGACTCACTAGTAGTCTTGCTGCCATACATCCCCCTTTCATCTTTATTCCAATAACTACTGGAGAATGAAAAAAATAATGCAGTAGTTCAACTACTAGAGCAGCAACAGAATTTATTTCTTAGCCACGTGCCTGTATTTTGATTCATTGTTTAATTCTTTGCTATCTCATAAGAGAAACACTTCTCTACCTAAAACAGATGTTGAGAACAGTCTCAGTTTAAGGAGTACCTTGTAATGTATATCAGTCATAAAGTAGGATTGAATCTTTTTGCTCCTCTCACTTAAAAGTGGAACTCACTCATTCTAGTTGTCTGTTTAAACAAAAATCATTGTTTTTTACAAATCCTAAAAAAGAGCGTACGATTCGAAGTTACTTGCACTCCTTCAATAATGAAAGTACTTCACTGTATCATCAACTATGCTCATCAATATTGCAAAGTCTAGATAACTGAATGGTTGAACAGTTTTATTCTTGTCATGCATGATAAAAATTTGAGAGTAAGTCTCCAGAAATAATCTCATTTCCTTCGCATGTCACTGTTACAAAGTACGTCCTGGTCAAATTAAATTGAACTCAGACCACAGCGTTAGGCACTTCAACATATTCTGTCTGATGCAGGCTGCTTCTGAAAAGAGCACTGCAGCTACAGACATGCTTCCTACCTTCATGTTTGCATTGCTGCGGCCTGGCTTAACGATGAGGCCAAAACTTATCTTAATTAAGTTTCTGACAAGGACTGTTTTCAACAAGACTGAGTTCTGCTTCAGATCAGTGTTCAGCTGTGCATACAGAAAACTATGGTACGACACAGCAATAGCGACGAGGAATCTTTCTGCTGTCAGATTTAACTTGCATCAGCTTGAAGAAAGATAAAGAAACCTCATCTGGAATCGTGAATTACAAGATGAGCATTCCTCATCTTATATCTTATGTTCTGTTTTGGACAAATAAATTCTAAAAGGCTGAGATACTTAACAATAGCTTGCACACATACAAATTGAGCTATTTTTGTGAGGTTTTTGTTTGTTTGTTTGTTTTTCCCCACATATGAATATCAGCAATCATTCAATCACTTCAAAGACCACAGTGGTTGCTTCTGGCTTCTCAAATGAAAGTGTTTAATGATTTTAAGAACTTGGGGGAAAAAAAAAAAAAAGTGGCAGAAACTAAGTTACTTAGGCAACAGATAACATGGAATATAGGTTGGTAGTGCTGCATTCTAAGACTCAATCCTCACTTTTAGCTTTCTACTCATTAGTGGAAGGTCAGTTGCATGAACTAGGTTGATGAGGTAAAACAAATCTGTCCTTTGTATTTTTTAGCAAACACTAAAAAATGCTTCTCATTAATAGAATAAGAAAATAAATGAGTTGTTAAAAGAACATTACTGCTAGAAATTGTGAATACGTTATGCAGAGAAGTTACATTTAAAAACACGTGAAAAACCTCAATAATTCAAACCAGACCCTATTTAAAAAGCAGTACTGCCATCTTGTGTTTAGACAGAAAAGTGCCTCAAAAAGCAATAAGAAAATGCAAGTATTTCACAGCTAAATCATTTACTAACTAACATTACTTGGTGCAACAAGTAACTTGTATGCATATATGTCTTACAGTTTACAAGTTTCAGAAAATTCAGTTTTGCCATGCCATAGATGGAAAAACAGTACTGTCAGACATCACAGACATCATCTACATGAAAGATACTTTCTGGGGAAATGGAAAAAAAAAACTAACAAGATTGAGATATACAGAGAACATTCTCAGCATTGGTCATTTCATTCCAGTTGTACAACAAGGCAATGGTGATGGTGACTGCTCCTGCTGGGTGCAGCTGACCTCAAGTATTTGCTGTGATGCCACAGTTGAATACCTTGGTGGTGATGGTGATTGCTGCCCCATTTACAGCCAAGGCTGACTTTCTGCAACCAGTGCAAGACAAGGAGATGGAATCTAAGGAATCATTTTGCTGCTCTTATCAGATTGCTGCTCCAGGCAATGACTACTTTGCCTTGTGCTTATATCTACTTTACACTCTTCTAACGTACAAAACCTAAGGTCATACATAGGCATGTATATACATTTCCTTTTGCTGATTTATATAACCAAATATGTATCACATGAAAAGGAGATCAGACAACTGTCCAAAAACAGCCTACAGGATTCTTAGAGATTTCTCATGTTTGTCTTTAGGGAGCAGACGTGGAAGGTTACACTGGCATAAACATGTTGCATTTCTGTATGGCAGGCTCAATCAATTCAATGAAAAAAACCTGCTGACTATCTGAAACATGCCTCAATAGGAAACTGTGGCTTAGAAGTAATAGTTGTATCCTATTTGCAGCAAGTTATCCCAAGCTACTTTACAAACCATTATGTCCTAAAGTGTATAAATTTGAAAGCTGTATACCATTTTTCTCATACATCCCCTATTTAAGGAAACCCTTTGCTAAAAAGCCCTCTATAAACTGTAAGGGAGACAAGCATACTGATGTCTTGACAGACGAGAATGGTTTACATATAACATAAAACATTCAAAATTTCATAAGAAATATTTAAGCAGCATAGAATTATCTTCTGCTTCTTCATTGTATTTTTAGACATATCAAAGTCCCAAAATGATTCAGTGTTTGACAGCTACACAGAATGAAAAATATTTCTCAACTTACTAGCTTTGTGATGACTGAACAACCAAATATTGTACTGCTGATGGTTGAATGAAATAGATTATCAATGCTGAAATCTCAAAATTTGGTATGACTTACAAAATAATTTTACAAGAAAACGTATGAAAATAGATCTGCTTCGTATGCCCCACATTAAATCAGACAAAATGTTAAAAATGCTGGAAGAAGCTGTCATTAGAGTAACTAAGAACTTTGAGGCTCTTAAGCTTTGATGTTGTGAAAACAGGTTAAAAGGCAATGATTTTAGCATCGTTTGGCAAATTTAGCTGTGCACTTAGAATGTAAAAAATGTGAAAAATTGTGTTAACAGCTGTAGAGTATAGAAATCAGGAATTACAACTACTCTGCACGTTCGCCTAATAGTTTCGTTTGCAATTGTTCTTAAATTCCAGAAATAAAAACAATTTTTGCTGAAAAATAACATCTCCTGGGACAGTTTTAAAGAGAGATAATGGAGTATATGATATTTTGCATACACCTTTACTAAAGCTACTTACAGAAATGGATGTAAAAACACCTCATATTCTGACTGATTCAACGAGTGTATTTAACCACGTAAAGCTCACTGTACCAAATACTTAACTGACTAAAACAGAGTTGATGATAAATGGTGTTGTTTCAGTGTAAAATTAATGACAAAGTGGCACTCATATTTCACAAAACTCGCTGCCCATTTACACATCTAGCAGACATTTCCATTTAAAATAACAAAAAAGCAAAAAGCATGCAATCATTAAAAAGAGGTGGCAAAGCATTTTGCCTTATTTACATATACAGAAAAACTTATAAGTTCAGAAAATCATGCAGAAGAAAGATACGAGGTACAGAAAACATGGCAGCGGAGGAAAAACTAGAAAGACATTCCTTGCATGGCATTCAGCTACTTAAAACTCTAAATGTGGATGAAATAATTGCATTCTTTACACTTCCAATAAATTGCACAAAACACAGTATGAACTGACTGGTAAACAGTTATGAGTTACATATGAAATGCATTATTGTCTCAACTCTGCCTTGAACTTTCACCCTGAAAAAGGCTTTGCTTGTAGAGGTTATAGTATTTCAGTTGTGAAAAACATTCACAGCATTTTCAGTTGTAAGGCTTCAAGCTGAAACAGATGTCAATAGTTCTACAGAATTACCATTAGCATGCTTCATTATTCTTGGATATTACTCTTTTAAAAAAAGGGAAAATTAAAATCATAGTCACATTAAAAGACTCCTATTCTGCGCAAAAAGAAATAAGTTCAGGAGACTGCTTCAGGACAAAAGGAAAATATCTCATCAACAGGCACTGACATACTATGCACAAGACAAGGTGTTGTTTTTCTCATTAAATGAACTGAACATAAGTTTCCAGTTAGCCTGAATCCTTTAGGAGAACACATTAATGAATATTAACATAAACCATACTCAAGTTTTTCCGATCATATAATTGAATTGACATAATGATATATTATTGAGAGAGATTTGCTTTCTTTAATTATGCCTGAGTTTCCACGCTCAGAGCACCTCTTCGTTAACCTGTTATCAGTGCAAGCAGTGCTCAAGTTAGTACTGAGCAAAGGGCATATTCCTCATGTTGTGCCTCAGATACCAATATTTCATCAGTCACATTTAGCTTGTTGAATTCTGAACAATTTTTGGTGGCTGAACTGTGATAAAATGGATTAGTGGATTAAGAGAAAAACTAAGTTTTCAATCAGCAAATCAGAGGGAGAACACTGAAAAAAATCTCTTCCTCCATTGCTGTGAATTACAGTCCAACACAAACTATGAAGTAGTACTTCAGCAAACATATTCACTATCTAAAGTAATCATAGGTTTTTGACCTCGCAAAAGATAAATATAAACCTTCCAGTGATTTACTAATGCAACCAATGAAAACATAATGAAACTTCAACAGTGATTCTGAAATGAAAGTAACCATATCCCAGGTAAGAAAGAAGAATCCTTTTCCCAAAATCACTCAACCTCTAGCTTTCATTTATTTAATGACCAAATAGCTGTAAGAAGAGCTAGTTTTCATTCCAATCACAAAAGGGTTCAATCTATGGCCTGCATACAACATATTCCAAGGCAGTCTGTTACCAAATTTTTAAGACAAGTCTGGAGCTGGTAGGCAATTGTGTCACAGCTGGACGCAGAAAAATAAAAACAATTCTGGAACAATAACGGAGCATACTGGTAGATGTTACCAAATCATGATTTGGTAATCATGATCAAATGATTAAATGAGAACATTACACTACCTCTATCTTGATCACTGTAATATACAAATCTGACCATACGGCTATGAATGTAACACAAAAGAAAGAAGATTAGCCACCTGTACCCTTGCATAAGTAGTGGAATAATGTTGTAACTTGCATAGACTGAACTCCTAATACAGATTAGAATCTTACCCATCCAGAAAATAGAAAAGTTCATTTGCAAAACAGAAAAAAAAAACAAAAAACCCAAACCAAACAAACCAGAATTTAAGCCACCAGCATCCCTGATTTTTTAAAAATCATTCTGCCCAGTATATTTAGCATAGAAGCAGCCCACAGAATTACCAAGTAGAATAAAGAATGAAAAATTATTAATTGAATATGCATTGAAATTTGATTTTTAAAATTTTAATTTATTTTTTGCTGCAGGGTTAGTGGTGCATAGAGTGAGACACAGGAACAGAAAAGAATCTTTCTAGTTCCTACCTATGTCATTGGCTACCATCTTGGAAAACTGTCTGCTTTTGGTCTTCACTGCAAATAGTATTTTAATAAAAAAAAAAAAAAAAAAAAAAAAAGGTCAATATATATATCAAAGGATAAACTCCAAAAAAAACAAAAACAAAACCAAAAACTAAGGAAAAAAAATACTGTACCCTTTTCTATAAAATTATTCATTTTTTGCTCATCATCATCAGAATTTGGTGAACCAGAACCTACGAGCAAAGACAGAATGAAATAGATATACATTTATTTTTGATGCATACCCAATGTATTATTAAAAGCTTTCAGTTTAAGGTAGAAAAGAAGATGTACTGAATTATCAAAAACTGATACTGGTATTCTCTGGTAGCTGTGCTAGATGCTGTGGATTCCAAATTATTCTTGAGAGTCAGGAATTCTGCTATATTGAGGTTATCCACAAAAATTGTAATGCAAGGTACTATTCTGTGCAGGGCAGAAGTTATATTGCTAGAAACGTTTCCCTCACTGAATAAAATGCTTATGTTGAATAACTAGATTACTCTTGTAATCATGACTCCAGACAAAAATTCATCTAAATGTGATTCACAGAACAGAATTTATTGCTGGCAGCAATAAATGAGAAAGCTTTTCAAATCTGTTTCTTTTCAGTGCAATAAATAATTGTTCAGCCACAGTTCTTTTCTGCCAACAAAGATTTCTCAAAATTCTTAATACTGCAGTCAGCAATGGTGGCTGTAAGTCCCACTGTTTGAAGCTTCCTATTGCCATGAAGCAAAAACAAACTTCAACAAAAAAATAGAAAATTTTACTGGATACTATTTTGTGAAAGTATAGAAATAAGATACAGTGACATCTGCAAACATAAAAACATGCTGGTTTACAATGAGATGTTTTACGGTCAGATTAGTGTCCTCAGAGTCCTCACTTTGTTACTACCTAATTTCAGTTAAACAAACAAAACAAAAAAAAAGGGGGGCATAAAGCTACTACCCAACCCTTGCACCCACTGCACCTCCCTCACTAGCATTTCTGTATTATTAAAAAAGTAGAATACAATTGACAGTCTATTTTACAGTCCTCTGAAATTCATTAACACCCATTGGAGGAAATTAAATGCAACTTAGGTTCTTCTTCACCTGTATGCTGGAAGGTGGAAGAGAATCACAGAATCACAGAATGGCCTGGGTTGAAAAGGACCACAAAGATCATCGAGTTTCAACCCCCTGCTATCTGCAGGGTCACCAACCACCAGACCAGGCTGCCCAGAGCCACATCCAGCCTGGCCTTGAATGCTCCAGGGTTGGGGCATCCACAACCTCCTTGGGCAACCTGTTACAGTGCGTCACCACCCTCTGTGTGAAAAACTTCCTCCTAATATCTAACCTAAACCTCCCGTCTCAGTTTAAAACTATTCCCCCTTGTCCTGTCACTATCCACCCTCAGACAGCCATTCCCCCTCCTGTTTATATGCTCCCTTCAAGTCCTGGAAGGCCACAATGAGGTCTCCCTGGAGCATTTTCTTCTCCAAGCTAAACAAGCGCAGCTCCCTCAACCTTTCCTCACAGAAGAGACGCTTCAGCCCTGAGCAAATGCAGACTTCAACCCGAATAGTGACTGATTTGCTTTATAGGTCATACTGTGTAACAGTCAAAGCTAATAGTACAGTCAACCCACTCCTACAGACTTAAAGTAGCTAACAAGTAAGCCATTGGTGTCAGTGTGTTTCTTTCTTCAGTGGCCAACTCTGTTCTGGAAAAAGTTCACTTAAATCCAGCCTCTGTCCTGCATCTTAAACTCAACAATATTGTGCAACTGATTTACCCAAACTCTCTCTTATCCCTGTAGCAGAATGTTCCAGTCTTGTGACCACACCCCAAAAAACCACTAAACTTAGAAACTAAACCTAAGGAATTGCAGCTCTTGTCTTACCCATAATGGCTGGCCTTCCCCAGCACACACAGACCAGAGTGTTCTGTCACCAGTGAGGTGACAGCTTGCCAGTCTCCATCCCTACTTTCAAGTACCTTTTTCAAAGGAAATATTGGAGAAGTCTGCCGTGAATATTTCTCATTCATGAAAAACTGAGAGAACTAAGGGAAGCAAGATGAAGTTCAACTTCACTACTACAAACATCTACAGGGCTTGCAACTGTGGCTTCTCACCTCAGTCTTTTGTCCATTCTCTATTTTTTGAATTCAGAATTTTTTTTTAGTATTGCATGTGCACCTAGAAAGAAATATCCAAACTGCATTACATTTTAACCTAGTCTACTACAACTCAAACAGGAGGGATGGAGAATAGGCAAACTGGTAAATTTAAGATTTTTCCAAACCTTGACTCTTGTCCTACTGCACACCTTACAACAGGTAAATCTGCAACTTTGACCTTTGAATTTGGAGTGGGGATTTGAATGAAGCAGATGAAGAGACACAGTACTACTTTAAAAATCCAGCATTATTCTAACAAAAAATTTGCTGATTACAACAAACATTCATCTCTAATACTATATATTGACACGTAATATTTACATAGTTATAGTTTCAATTAGCCAACATTGAAAAAAAAAATCTAAGTAATACATCATTACTGCAGCTTTCCTTTAGAATAGTCAAATGCAGGAGTAGTGACAGAACTTTTTTTTTTAAGCAGAGAAATCCTACTTTGTAAGGATGTAAGCCTCTGAAGACTTCTGATTCCAAAGGAAAAAAAAAAACTAGCTCCTTTGCTCCTTCTGCAGACTTTTCTTAAACCACTTTTGAGGACTCTGAGACACCAGACACATGTACTCCTAAAGGAATTAGAGCATCTTTTATCAGAGTTTTAAAATTCGATTGTGCCGTGGAGTATGTTCCTTACAACAAATATTACAGATTTTATCTCTTCACTTATCTTTATGACATTTCTATTGCATCTATTAAATTAATCTTCCTTTAAAAACACAGTGGTGCAGCACAGCAACATTTTTCAGGAAAGCTACAACAACTTGTGAGAAGACTACAGGCTTTATGCAACTAGTCTGTATTCAAGTATGCCATCTTCCATGCAAATAAGAAGCTGAAAATCAGACTAAGTTATGATTACCTGAAGTGGGTGATTTGCAGCGATCTTCTGGCACCACTGTACCCTCATTTATATCACAAAGACCTGCTGGAACACAAAAATAGCATCTAATAAGCATGGCTGCTATTTTTTCCTTTCTTCCATTGCAGTTAGAAACTGGATATTTAATTAGATACAAACCAGATGGTTGTGGTAGAATTTGTTAGTATTACACTGTTGTGTTTTTTTGTTGTTTCTTTGTTTTAAATTTAGACATCAGCCGCAGTGACTGTAAAGCCGCTTCATCCTACTAAAGATTTCTTACTGGATTTTACAAAACATACTTCCTCATTAAATTTCAGTAAAAAAGAACCCTCTTTTAAGTATGAAAATAATCTGAACAGTTAATTCCATGCCATGAATGTATGTTAAGTACACATTTCTGTTTTGAAAAAAAATTTTATATATATATATATATATATATATACACGCATATATATATATAATTGCAAAAGAAAGTCAGGTAGAAGAGGATCTTGAAGATGACAACCACACTCAGATATATAACCAGTGTTTTTCACAATTTGCTTACCAATTTGCTTACAATTTGTTTTCAGCTTTATCTGCTGCAGTGGTGAGCTTTATATTTAATGTTGTATTACAGAGGTCAGCTTGGAGTTCTGCTGGAAAATGTCACTTTAAGATTTTACAGTATTTGGGTGCTTCCTAAAGTTCATTCTTTACACTTCAGTAATGCAATTACATTTCAGTAAGGAAATAAAGCACAGGAGTTCAGCATCTGATGCTAAAGATGGAATAATTTTTAGGATCATAAGATAGCTTTCACGACATGAACCAGGAGCTTAAAGATATGTTACCATTTTCATTTTTGATAGGAAATTGCCAGCAAAACAGCCCAGGATAAAGTATTTTATTAATATATTAAGGTGAATTATGCACATATAATTTATATATATTTTGTATATATATGTATATAATCTTGTTTTCCTTCAGGGATATTTTATGTGATACTAATGTAAACAAGAATGCAATACTTTACAGAAATTAAATAGGTAAGTAAATAAATACTTGTTAAATAGGAGGTTTTTGCATGCACGCTGGCATTTCAAATAAAGTTAAAAACCTCCAGGGGAGTAACAGCTGAAGCAACAAGAGATTGAACAGGCAAAGCCTATCTATATAGACGCATTCAACAGTGCATCTGTAATAATTATTCCCATATTTTTTTTCCTCCTCTCTTTCCCCATATTTATTTCCTCTTCTATACAAGTGTTAGATTTCCCAATTATCAAAACCAAAGGTAATAATTTAAAGGAAAAAAAAGACATCATATCACTGTGGAATCCATTGAAGTTATGCTACATTCACACACTGTTATATTTATGCAATATAGCTTTTTGGTTTATTTAAGACTAAAAGCATGGGCAAATTGCACCTCAAAAAACTCAGTGATGACGGTGATGTGCAAATGACCTTATGAACAGGTAAAGCCTGCACTTAACAAAAGTCAAAGAACTGATTTCAATTTGAAAACATATGGGGATATCCCAGGTAGAAGCTATATGTTTTCTTTCTCCTGCATAGTGGTAAACAATTTTAAGTATTTTTTCTAAAATCATAGAGTATTATGGGATAATCATGGTACATGTTCTCCCACAAAGTACATTTTCACCTCCAAAACCACCAGTTTAAAACACACTTGAGAGTTTATGCATTCTGTGCTACCCAGGGCTGTGTAATATTTTTTTTTTCAAAAAGCCATAAGCTGCTCTCCCAGCAAGCAGTACAATTTTCAGATAGTACCAAGGGTAGGCTATATACATTCCACTCACACATATTTAAATAATAATGCCCAAGATACTTTTAAAGGCAATTTTAGTGTTTGTTATTCTCTCAGGTATGGTCTGAGCAGACTACATGCTACAAGTTCATGCTTAGTAGCTCTACTAATCCTAAACACAGGGGATCAGTATCAGCTTAGGGTTAATGACCTTTATGGTTAACATTTCTGGAAATTTACAGAGCTCTATTATGACTTGGGAGTATGGGGTTAGCATTCCAGGAACATAGCCTTGATGATACCCAATAGCCTTCAAAGGTAAAGGAAGATCCTGATAAGATTTTTATTATGCATGTAAAATGGAAATGAATTTTTGGTACTGGGAACAGTCAAGTAAATAAATACTGAACATTCAGATATGACTGCAGTTCACCTGAAACAGGTATTCAGCATCTCCCTACTCTTTCAGCTTATGGAAAGCAAAGACAGCACAGAACATTTTTGCTGGGCTGGCTATGGCATCACTAGAAGGAATTAAAAAAAATTCCAGCCAACCACAGTCTATCAGATTAAAAGTTGCTTCTTATGCAAAGTTGTTTTAGGTGTCCTGAACCTTTGAGGTGGACTCTTCTCATAGTAGCCATTGAAGAAATTGCTTCACCCATAGAGAACAGATGTCATTTTGGTATTTTAATATTCTTTCATAAGTGACGGCTTATTCTTGTCACCTCCTACTTTCATTTCACTAACCCAACAGAAATCTTTGCCAGAGTTGCTGGGAGGGATTTGAAAATGAACAGTTCTTAAGTGTGAGGGGAAGCAGTTCTTGCCAGCATAACAAAGGAGTATCTACAAGGTTTGCAGGCCTTCAGTCTGAAGTTAGGACTCTGAGGAATGCCCATTCATCAATATTCTTGTAGCAACAACAGCCTAAAATGCATGTTTCTAGTGGCAGCAATAATTAGATCTGGTTGTCAACAATCAGGCCAAGAAAGAGCAGAGTATAGACTAAATTTTGTGCCAAGACTGCTGCTCAGGGAAAACTATTTATGCATTTGTCATGATTTAGAAGATGATGTCTTCTGACTTAACTAAGAGCTACTTACTACTGTATCCCTTATGAGAGTGGTATATCTGTACATAGCGAGCCCGGATAACTGTGAGAGCAGCATAGTTTCTATATGTACAATAATTCAAAAGTTTTTCTAACAGGTCTGAAACAGGTGGAAGAAAATATATCCAAAGCAACTCATCCAGCCTACTAAAATTTTGAGTTTGTTCTAGATCTAGGACAGAAGCAGGCTAGAAGAACGGCTCCGAAAGTTCACCTTAAAACATGCTCCCCAAGGCCTTTTGGAGTTTGTTATAGAAGTCTGACAGTTTAGATCTGGTGCCATGCTCATACATGCCACACACATACCTAATGTGCATGAAGTTCTATTATAAAACACATTAACATGAGCACTTATCACTCCAGATCCAAGTACAGCTTCAATTCTGACTTGCCAGGACAACAACAAACAATGCAGTATCACGTTATGTGGATTTGCTCATTACTGAAGATGGCAGGTTTAAACAACGCTCTTTGAACAAATACTAAGGAAATCCTCACAGTAGCAATATTAAGAGGACAAAACTGTGCTGTGCTTTTAAAAACCGTCTCGGTCCCAGATCATGCTCCTTAGGGAGCCAAACTATACAAATCCGAAGTCTAAGTTTAGGAATTTAACTTCCCATCTCCTTCTATTGTAATTCTTTAGAGGAAGAGCTGAACTTCTCACACTTGTTTCCTGTAAGAAGTGTAATCCTGCTTTGACAGGAATAGTATGTAGCCAAGAACAAAGTCATATACCTACACACTTGCTTTCACTGTAATAAGTATTGAGGTTACAATTTGATACTCATCTTAATGAATAACTCGCATCAATTGATCCAACGGAAAACCTCAAAACATTCGTATCATAAAACTACTTGCTAATTGTATGCATAAGATTTATACCACTAAATTATGGCATGATGCTAATTATTCTTGCACATAAATCCTGGAAATCTAATTAGTCATCACTGCTATTATTTGACAAAGAGGAGGAAGGGACAGAAAAAAAATAATTTTATGTAGTAGTTCTTATAAATAGCACTAATTACTGTTACTCAATATGACCTGAGTTGCGTCTGTGAAATACTAAGGTCTGTACACTTTATAATCTCAAGTACCGATATAGCCAATTTGTGCGCTGAATTCTGAATTAAGTTTTATGATTTCAGGCTTACAAATGCACAACTCACGAGGGATTTTAAAGCCAATTGGTCCTAAGTTTTCCATTTCAGAACTAAAGCCTGATTAGAAGACCAGGAAAAACTAATCTTCTAATAAGCTCTTAGCTTCTTTCTGAACTCTAGTAGCAAGAAACTTGAAATAAACACAAAAATGAATTAAAAGAAATAATGCTATTAAAGATGGAAAAGATATCATGCTGCATTATAAATTCCCTAGAATTACAGTCAAAATTAACTAATATGTTGAGTTTTGTGAGTTCATATATATACATCATTCAGGCACTTATATACCAACTTCACTGGAAACAAGTCCAATTAAAAATTTGAACTAGCTTGATGTGAAAATACGAGCATATTAAACAACTGACTTGAAAGAGTCAGAAAAGCCCCCTAATCCAGAAACCAAACTTTATGCTTCAGTACTATATTTGGCTTAGTCACAGCTGACGTTGGTCTAGTTTAGTTCAAGTATAAGTTTAAAAAAGGAGTGCTGAGGTCTAGATTCAGTTCAAGGAGAAAGAGGATGTGAGAAACAACCAGAACAAGCACTCTCAGTATTTACTTCTACTAGTTTTGATTTCAACAACTGAAATCCTTGTAGGTTACAATAAAAAGAAAAAAAAAGTCTTTAATGCATAAGCAAAAGTCACATGTAAGCAAAAACTGCTTCTATTTTGTCAGAATAATCTTGAACTGCCTCTAATAAAGCATATGAAGTGTTATAGAATGATACAGATTTTTATTTTAAAAAATGTAGTACATTGTACTAACTGAGAAATAACATAAAACCTTGCAACTCCCACCAGCACTAAGTTTTAAAAGAGTGAAGGTTGTTATCTTTGGTTGATTTAATTATGGAGCTAACGTCTATTGATACATTCTTTCGTGTAGTCCTACAGTTACGAACTGTTTGATACTTGGTTCCAGTATTGTCTGTCTTCTTAATGGCTCTGTGATCCTGTCACATTTCAGAAACAGTATATCAAGCAAAGATCTCAAACAGGGAGGATAGCATCAAGGTTAAGAAATAAACACTTACAAAAACGTGTTATAACATATTGAATATTCCAGGTAGACTCAGCTTTTCAATTGCTAGCTTTGGAAAGTAATTCTGGGAGTACTGTCCACCTTTTCCTTCCCTTCAAAATGACAAAGGAGCAGCCGATCTTGCCTTTTAGTTCTGTATCATCTCAAAGCAGAAGCATTTCTTTTACATATCACTCTCTCCCTTGGCAGCAGATGATGGAAGACAAAGAAAGTCTACCATCCCTGAAATGTATTTTTCTCTCTCTTTGGTAAAACAAAACAAAACAAAACAACAATAACAACCAAAAACAACCAAAAACAAAAAGCAGAACTAATAGAACTGGACCACAGTCTTAAGTGTTTCTTTCACCACCACTACCGAGGTTCCTTGGATTTTGTTTTATTCTACTCCCTATTTAGCAAGGGAGTCAGATTTCAAACTTCTGCCCAAAGGCTGGAGAAAAATGACATGCTAGGGAAAGGAATCATATACTTTTGAAGTCAAGTCCATATGCTCTGAATTCTTTGATGCTGTGAATGTTGGAATAAGTCAGAAAAACCCTGAGGTAACTCACATTTCTGATGGGCTATGACTCTACTGCGGTGCTCTTGAACATCAAAAGTGCTTGGAAATCTTACAGGGCTGGACAATACACTAATACCTCCACTCTCAATCCCTATAAAGCAACATCTCAGTAGAAGGAAACTTCCACTTGAACAGACAAATCATTGTGTTTTACAATGTTAAAAAGTAAATTAATAATAATAACCATAATCAAGCATGAATTCTCAAGCTTTTTCTTACAGTACAGAGAACAAGTAAAGGCAGATTCTAGCCTTGGTGCTCAGAGGACTAATGGATTTGATGGTAAGATCTTGGGACCATAGACATCAGTAACTTCTAAGATTAAAGATTCTAAGATTATCTTAGATCTCGCTTTCCTTCTCCCTCCTACCCTTTCCCCCTAATACAGAGACTATTATGGTCATTCTTTTTTTTTCTTCCCATTTCTATTAGGGATGTCATGAACAAGAAATACGATTGACGTATGGTTCAAAACAGTTTCTAAAAGTAAAACAATTATTTAAAATGGTATAACAAAAGTATTTATGGTAAGTGAACAGCAAGTAAAAAAAAAAATCAAATTCAGATGTTCAAAAATAGTTTTCTTTTGGTCATGAGATGACTTACTTATATAAGAGGTGCGAAGCTTTTTCACAGACTCTGAATATAAGTTAGAAAGGCCGCACATGCAAGAAGCCACAGTCAGCATACCTTTACGCAGCAATGAGAAAAGGAAAGATGGAGAGACTAACAGTACATTTGAGACAGAAAAGCCAGTTGAATAACTTGTATAATGAGGTTTATAAAATGCTCTTGCCATGCAGATCATTAGTATTAAAATGTAAGATTAAAAAAATATACAATTTCAGGTAATAGTTACATTAATGAACAAAAAGGACTCCACTGAGGAGTATCTTAGAGATACAGTTGTAATACAGTTATGCTGAGCATTAAACAACAAAAAGCAAGAAAACAAAGTGATTAATGTTTAGCACTACAAAAAGCAGTTTTAAACATAAATGCATGCAGCACAAGGCAAGTCCTTTACTACCATGAGACATTAACAGAGTGAACCAGTGAAGTTACTTCTTTCTCTCTGAATGCTTTTTTGTTTTAATACTTATCTTTCTCTACAACAGAAAAAGACATCTGTCCCCAAGAACCGTGTGTGTTCCTCTCTAAGCTAATTATTTTTTTAAAGCACCTTCCTCAGTTGAAGAAATCTGACAGATGGCAACAAAATCTTTCTCAAACCGAAGATTTACTAAAATATGTCCAGGAGCATCCATTTTCACTTCAGTATAACACTACCTGAACTTTATTCTGAATCACTTAAAGTAAACCAACCATGAAGTTTTCTAAACAATGTGTTTCCCAATAATAATCATTTGGAGGCAACAGTGATGTTGTTAACAGTTCCATTTTAGGTGTTTTAAAAATTAGCTTAAAAATATCAACTAAAACTATTTTCTCCTTATTATTTAAAGTTCTAACTTTTCATTTTGCCAATAAAAATGTTTGGGATTTTGACTGAAAGATTACTTTCCTCCTAGTATAAACTACCACCTTTCTTCAGTATCTTTTCAAAACAGTCATTTTTACAAAAAAAAAAAACTTTAATTCGTTCATTTATATCAAAAGCTTCCTTTAAAACAAATATAAGAGTATACACAGCATAACACTCTTTCTAGACAAAGGCTGAAATAAGACAGAAAATGATCCCAGCAGATATGCTGGGTATCTGCCAAAATTAATGGGCTCATATAAGCTTATGATTTGGGTACTAGGATTATGAGAAATACCAAGATATTAAATCTCCTCCCAGCTGTGCTAGTAAGTTAACAGCATAAATCTACTGAGTTTTTATAGCTTATATCTATACATACAAAATTTCTCCCCTACTGCTTTTTTTTTTTTAAACATACATTACGTTAATAAAAATATAAGTGATTATATCAAGCATCAATAGATTTCATTAAGCAATATTTTTGAAATAACAAAATTGAGAAGGCAAAAGCATACATGCATTCAGAGAACAGACACTATCAGCTCAGAAAAGGTCAGAAGACAGGCAAAGTTGTTTTCAACAGGCTGTGGGTTACTCACCTCCAGATGGCTGACGAGTTTTTCGGGGAGATCGTGGCTCCCTACGATAAGGATCATTGGAACCATACAGTTCAATAGTGCCAAGATTCAAGAGGACTGTCTTCTGGAGGTAATCAACCATGGCAATACCATTACAGTTTCCAAAAACTACTCTGGAAAAAGATAACGTGGAAGGAAAGATAACGCTAATGCGAGTATAATTTTATTTTGATATTTTTTGCTATGCAGAATTTTAAGATTTCCCATTTTTTTCATATTTTATTATTACTACCTTTTAATAAATTGCTATAAATTAAGAGCATGTACAAATTACTATTTTAGAATGTAGCACTGTTTAAGCATTTACTTTTTAAAACATGTAATGTTGAGTAAAGCAGATCATTGTTCATGCCAATTTATCCAATAGAGCCTTAACTGACATATATTCTTAGCTTTACAGTGACAACACACATAAGGAAGAGTGATGTTGATTTGTGTGACATTCACATCATCAGGAACTACCACAAACCACCAAAATGAACTATCAGGAAACACAGAAATCTAATTGCATCTTTTCTGTTGCTGTAGACTTTGCACGAACACACGCTGACTTAGTTTTTAACAGCAAATGCTTTTGACAGAATATTGAAAAAGCTGCGTAGAATATACTTACAGGCCATACGCTGAATTGACTGCTAAGCTGGTTATCTGCTGAGGAGGTTCTCCACTCACCCACACTAGTTGGATAACTAGCTCAATTTGGTAGCCTGGAGACTGCTTAAGAGGAGAATTTTTAACTCTGCAAAGTAAACAAAACATCACATTTTTATGACTCTGAAGTGCTCTTAAATGTGCATAATTCACTGAATTTGGTATCACATTGAACTTTGAAAAGTTTGGAAAACTGTAAAGAAAATAATGGTGTATCAGTTTCACAGAACAAGTATGAGATGGTGGGGTAGGACTGAAGGTCTTGGAAACACATTGCGCATTGATGAACAAACTTAGGAATGTCCTACAGAAAGTATTAAGACTCTCTTATCTTTTGAATTAAAAAAAAATCCTCTATACAGATCATCAGGTCCTCCAAGTCCTGAGTTTCTTTTTTATCTATTTAATATTTTGATTTGCCAATATTTTACAAAATCTCTTTTTGTCTTTCTAACTTCATTTAAACTTACTGTCTTCAATACATTTATATAACTCAGTATAATCAAGAAGATACAAAACTAATCCTCAGAAAAAATAAACCTGTCAGAATTAACTATTTTCTAGATGGATGAACTCAAGAAATTGAAATCTAAGATTGGAGTTTAAAGTTTCAGAAAAAATTAAATACATGTCTTAATTTTATATCTGAAAATAGAGTGCAACATAGATTTTATAACAAAAGTTGATAGTCAAGAGGTCTCAAGATGCACTCTTGTAAAAGAGTAAAAAAAAAAAAAAAAAAAAAAAAAGCAAGTCTTCTGTTAACCTTAATTTCTCAGTGGAATAAACACACAGAAATACACCAAAAACTCCCAAAATTGGGAGAAATATCTCCCAATTTAAAAACTGAAAACAATTAAAAAATTGAATAGTTCTAAAAACTTACACTTAAAAAAAATAAGAGGCATCATGAGAACAGACTGTTGTTGCTTACAAATAACTAACAAGTGATGCCTATTCAAACATACTTGGCCTAAAGTTAAGCAGAGCTGAAGTGTTAAGTGATCTGTTCACTTCAATGCACACAAAAATTTCAAAGTAACTATACTGCTCCCATTTAAAAGTTTGCTCTAAAGCATGAACATCTATAACTATATTAACATCAATGTTAGTAAAATTTCCTAAAGCAGGCTGAGTTATATGGTGATTATCTTCTGATTTATTTTTTTAAATCACCGAGAATTATGACATTTATATAAATTAAGATTAAAATTGTAATTTCTTGAAACAGAATTCGGATTTCAGATATTTGGGGGATGTTGTTTTAGAAAACAAGAGTTTCACTTACAGTAGCATTTCTACATTAATTTCCGAGTACATATCGTCTCACAATGTAAATATTCTTGAAAAGTTTCACAAATAACAAAAGCATAACAGAATATACTTACTTTAAACATGGGACATTATCACGAAGGCCATCAGATGAACTGCTACTAGTAGATGGATGAGACTGGGGAACAATGGACTGAGGATTGGAACTCGTGCCAGGAGTTGGTAATGGTGGTATCTGTTCACCATCTGGAGATTCAATGTCATTTATTTCATATAACAGGCGCACTTCCAGCATCTGCAAAGTAAAAATAAAGCAAATAAATAATAATTTTTAAAAAAGCTGGTCTTTCAGAAAAAGTGTATGATTAAGCACAATTAAGATACTAGTCTTAAGGGAGACATTCGGGACTTCTCTATCTTCAGATTGTAATATTTATGTTACTATTATCTTTTTAAACACATATACAGTCTTCAGAAATATAATCATTCTAGCCACTTAAGATTGAATATGTGATGGTTAAACCTTGAAAATTAACTTATTTTCCGCTATTTAAAAGTTTCTTGTTTATTACTGAAAAGAAACAAAATACAGGAAACAAAGCCCGTTTAATCATCATTCCAAGCATGTAATACAGACATGAAGGAGGCTTATTTTATGTTGTTTTAGAATGTTAAAACTAGGAAGAGCCATAGAACCTAGCTGACCTGCTCATACAGTGGCACTATTTAATTCATTGCTCAATGTTGCATTGAGTTAGGTCATAACATTTAAAACAATAAATTCATCATATTTCAGATTAGTATTAATTGTGTAATCATTAAGATCTTCTACTGTTTGAATCTCAACATTTGGAAAACAGAACTTAACTCAGACCGAAAGATCTATACAGTAGTTTTAAAAACACTTCAAGTACTGAATCGGCTTGCTGACTGCTGATTTCTAAAAACCTTTCAGAAAAAACAACATTCCCTTAGAAGGCAGTGTGCATGAATACGAGTAAATACTTGAAGGAAAAAACAAGCATGTCTTATCTCCTTTACTGATATTTGTCTGAAGTGGAAAAATAAGAAGAAAAAGAACAGCATTATCATTAAGGCAGTACTCAGAACACAGTGTATTTGATGACTAACAACCTTCAAGTTAACTTTCAGCTCGTTCATTCCAGATAAGTGAAGTTGCATATGTGTGTTTGATTTAACAAAGGATTTGAACTCTTGTAATAGAATTTATCCTGGAACCTTACAATCAAACATGACAGCAAAGTCCTAGACAGAATTTAGGGCATGTATGGTGTACCCTTCTTCTATATCTGTACACCAAGACAGATTATAATGATTAGGAATCAAGAAAAAGAGTCATCAACTCCCTCACTGAAGTCTTTGAAAATTCTTTGACTGTATCTCACTCACTTGTTTAAACTGTCTGATGCAACTAAGCTTTGACACACACTTTGCATTGAAAGTTAGAACAAAGAGTTACTATTGGCAGCAAATCTGAGAGGCAATGAAAGCCAAAGTAGTGATGTGTAACTTTCATTTTTGCTGAATTTGCTAGTTTACTACTTTTCTTTCATAGAAAAAGAAATTTATTAGCTTTGAGGAGATTTTTTCGGTACTTTTGAGTAACACAATGAAAACAATGAAAAGCTAAATCGCTATGACAGTCTTATTATAGAGAAATCTTATAAAATTGAAAAAAAAATCTTTATATAAATTACCGGAATGACTTCTGTTGTCACTTCCTGCTTGCTGAACCTGTAGATAATGACATGTGCAGAAACTCCAGCTACACACAGCATTCTACTTTCTGGACACCACGAGATGATCTGAATAGCATATGGATCTTCATCTACTATATCTGTGTTTGGCCTGTCATCCTTATTCCGTGATTTTTCAAATACTTTGGCTGTTTTTAGCTTATAGAGTACTTGCAGCGTTACTAGGAACAATTCAAAAGAAATTAAAATTAATTTCTATTTAAACATATATTTATCTCAGTAACTTTTCTAATTTAGAAATTTAGCTTCACAGAAAACATCTCTTTGTTTAGCAAAGGAGGGCAGAGAATATCTGAGTTGATACCATTCATCACAACTTGCCTAATGCAGGATCAGCTAGTTAGAAAAAAAAAATTCCTATTTAAAAGAGATGTTACATTTAAGTTAAAAACTAAATCCTCAGTTTCACAAGTTTAACTATAATTAGGTTCTCTAATAATAACAACAATATTTAGTGACATTTACCATATCTCAGCTTAGCCTGTAGCACAAGAAGTAAAGCTCCTTCCCTTTCTGCTTACAGTATTTCAAATCCATGGCCTCTTTCCCATGTTCTACCAATTTTTTTGAATGACCATTGAGCAGAAAACAAAATGCAACCTTCTGATGAATCCACATTTTTCTTTAGAGTGCAGTTTCCAGATCTGTCCTAATGAGTCCTTACCACAGTTTAAAACTGTAAGAATTATTTGATCTTCATTTTAGTGATATTCCAATTTATTCACTCTAATTATTATTACTTGTGCAAACACTGACACTGCACTCCCATAGGCCTCCAATTTTTTAACAGATTAAGTTCTGAGTAATATTATTCTCAGTTGGAATTCTTTCTTCCAACATTCTTGAAACTGCCTTAGTGTTGCTTTCAAACTTCACTGGCACAGTCTTGAGTCAATCATCCAAACACTTGACAACAATACTAATCACACCCTTATGTAAATCTAATTTATCCTTATTTCTCTTATGCAGTTTCATCTGAATCAAATTTTCCAATTCATGTATAAGGCTGTACTGCTGTTAAAAATTAAGACAGAAGATACCTGCAGCTTCTCCCTTAATGGGATTAGTAATTTGTTATTAAAAGGATAATAATTGGCTTTAACAGAATTTGCTTTAGACAGATCCATGCTGGATATTATTTTTAACTACAGATAACCAATTATTTTTTCCAAGTTCCACCCCCAGTCCAAACAAATTAAGGATCTACAACACTCCAAATACACCTCTGCCCAGTTTTTAAACATATATTGCGTCTGTTCTCTCCCACACCCACATACTCCTAGAGCACTTTGGAATCTCACAAGTATTCCACAAGCTTTCAAGGAAAACTGGTAATGATTCCAAGATTGTTTCAGACAGCTTTTAAGTCCTAGGAGTAAGTTTAGTCAGAACCAGATGATTTAAAAACATTTAACTCAGAGTCCATTCCAATTTGAATTCTTACTGAATTTCTCACTCTTAGCTCTGTAGATCATTAGATGTAATTGACCCTTTAACCAACGAGACAGGCAAAATGGTTTGTTCTGTGGTCAAAAGAAGTCAATTAGAGCACCAATTACAGCAAATTGGTGTATATAAACACAACTCTCTTCCTTTAGACCGCAACGAACAACTTGAATTTAATTGTACTAAAAAGGAATACATCTGCCTATCTGCATGTCTGCATGTACGATAAACTACCTTTGAATTAAAGCAAACGTTTTCTTGCTAGCTCTTGGACTACTAGTGCATTTTCACTGCGATGGAATAACTGAGAAATTATGTTAGCATTATTTTAATTTAATTTGAATCAAAATTTTATAAGGAGTTGACTGTACATGGGGCAGGAATTATGACAATGACTGATTCACAATTACATTTAATTAGACAAATCTCCTCAAATTTAGAAATCTCCTGTTTGATAGAAAAAAATTTCTTCTGAAAAAACTTACTTGCTGAGGCATCCCAAAACTTGATCGACCCATCAGCATGCCTACAAAATATTAAAAAATTCATTAGATCAGAAAATTGTTAGTTGGAGCATTAGACCTCTTTGCTATTAACCAATTAAAAATATGACTAACATTCCATTTTTATTACTTATTATAATGACACAGCATTTTAATAGCTTACTGAAAACCAGTATTTTACAAACACTTGCCCCAGTTAGTCAGAAGTGATAAACTTATTTCACTGGTTCTTCACTGAATTCCACTGCACTAATATTAATTTACCACTTTAAACTGATTTGAGTTACTCACATTTCTTGCAAGTAGTTCAGAATAATTTATGACTTTTATTTTTGTTTTTAAACATATGTACCTTATTTGAAGGGATACTCATAAAGCAGTGCCCAAATTAACTACCTCAGAGCAAACGTCATCTAACTTATTTATTTATCCTTGAAACTGGATTTCTCAGGATTTACTCTCAAAGTCTCTAATGTGTAGTACAAAGTGACAATAATCTGCAGGAGGGCTCATGAGTTGTTTGAAAAAGAAAAAAAAAAACACAAAATGTAGTGGTGGTCCTTTACACTCCTTGCAGTAAAGTTAGAAGGATCCATCTCAAAGATAAAAATCAACAAATCAATAACAGGTCAATGGACTTCCTATGCTTTAAAACAACTCAAATATTATGCAGAAGTTAACAACAAAGGAGGAGTTTCTTCCACGATATATTGACTGCAAGCAGACACACTCCTAACACCACATCAGAATAATAATTTATATAAAACACTGTCACAGAGTTCCTGTGTTTCTTTTCCATGCTTTGATTGACTTTCTTGTCAAAGCATATGGATTGTCTGGTGAACATCATTTCTTAAATCACTGCACCACTCTTGGAATATTGTTTTCTATACAAGGACCAAAGGACCAAAATACACATTACTGCACTGTGGTGTCACTTACCCTGTAATTATTATCTCTGGATAGCTCTGAGTAATCAAACCCCAGTTGCCTCCACTGATAGGCCATTCCTAGAAGATTAACAAATACAATACAGGGAATAAATATGGAAATATAGGAGAGTAATGTGAACATTGAAACAAATACACTGAGGAAGAAAATATTATGCAGTGCAGAGTTAAATCACTGAAATTTCTACAGATACTGCAGATTTCAGAATTTCAAAATTTCTGAATTTATTAGACATGTTTACTGCAAAGACAAGCCAACAAGTACTGTAAGAAAACACCCCTGCACCAAGAAGTCCCTTAGCTTCCAGTGATCTGGCTATCGACAGGAGCACACCAAGGAAAGAATGACTACAGCATGACATATGCTATAAACCCCTCCAGACATCTACTAGCTAAAGACAGGATAACTTAATCAGATGAAGCTTTGGTCATAGAAGGACCATGCTTATCCTATTCAGAACAGTTGATTTTTTTGTATTTTCAAATACATGTACTGGATGTTGTACCTTCTTACTGTAACCTTGACGTTTCTGTCGAGCGCCAACTGAATAGAGAGCAGGTATGAGGTCAACAGGACAATCAGCAAAATATTCACAACAGGTAACTGGAGACTCGTGTATTGTCAAAGGATAGGGATTCTCAAATATAGGGTACCTTTAACAGATGAAAGGGGAAGAAAGTTAATCTAGGAAAAAAAATTATTTTAAATGCAGAATAAGTGAAACACTGAAGAATGCACTCTTTTTGTACAGAGGACAGTAAAAGCATATAAAATTAAATTATGAATGAATGTATTAAGCAACTTCATTAAACACACTATCAAGATAATATAGATCTTGAAACAGAACCAGCATCTTTTACTCTTTCTAGAACATGTTTAGAACATTGTTATTCCCTTATGTTTCCTATTTTAAAAACTTTCCTATATTAATGGCTTGCGGAAGAATTTAAGTTAACAAGTCTTAATTGTAATAACATGAATCACAGAATCACAGAATGGCCAGGGTTGAAAGAGACCTCAGGGATCATGAATCTCCAACCCCCCTGCCATATGCAGGGCCACCAACCTCCCCATTTAATTCTAGACCAGGCTGCCCAGGGCCCCATCCAATCTGGCCTTGAACACCTCCAGGGATGGGGCATCCACAACCTCTCTGGGCAGCCTGTTCCAGCACCTTACCACTCTCTTTGTAAAGAATTTCCCCCTGACATCCAACTTAAATCTCCCCTCCCTCAACTTAAAACCATTTCCCTTGTCCTGCTGTTATCTACCTGCTCAAACAGTTGACTCCCCTCCTGTTTGTAGGCTCCCTTTAAGTACTGAAATGCTGCAATGAGGTCACCCAGCAGCCTTCTTTTCTCCAGGTTGAACAAGCCCAGCTCTCTCAGCCTGTCCTCATAGTGGAGGTGCTCCAATCCCCTGATCATCTCTGTGGCTCACCTGTGGACCCTCTCCAACAGCTCTCTGTCTTTTTTGTACTGGGAGCTCCAAACCTGGACACATTCTCCAGATGGGGCCTCACAAGAGCAGAGTAGAGGGGGACAATCACCTCCCTGTCCCTGCTGGCCACCCCTCTTCTGATGGAGACCAGGACACCATTTGCCTTCCGAGCTGCAAGAGCACACTGCTGGCTCATGTTAAGCTTTTCATTTATCAAGACCCCAAGGTCCTTCTCTGCAGGGTTGCTCTCAAGGACCACTCCTTCCAGTCTGTACAGATGCCTGGGATTCCTCCTGCAAAACTCCGCACTTTGCCATGTTGAACTTATTTCTACTCTGCAGTCTATCCTTTGAATAGGAGAAATCTACTTTTCCCTTTGTATTATGCTGTTCCTAGACAGGAACTCGTCCAACATATTTCATAACCTGCCTGCAACTCCAAGGTCACTTTCTGAAAGTCATAGATAGCAACTTTTGGTTACCAATTAGAAATAAAAAAGCACACATACTCCTCAACTCCAACTGGGGAGTGATAGAACCTTCATGAGGAAAAAAAGGTAAAGTAGAAAAAAAGATAGTAAAAACAAACAGTTATATGTATCTGTGCTCAAAGGACATTTCTCTCCAGTGAAATGCATACTATACTTTTTTTTGTTTGTTTGAGAAAGGTCAATCCTTTCAATTCCTTTAATAGAAAAATTAGCAACAACAAATGATTTCACATTAAGCTATGTTGGAAACTAAAGATTCTTCTAAAACAGAATGAAAAACATGTTCATTTTTAACAAGAAATAGTAAAATCATACAACAGCATAGGACATTACTACATTAAAAGATCTCTTACTGCACTAAAAAAAGAGGGAATTGATGTTACTATTTTAATTTTGTAAATATCTCTATACAAATCTTGTATCTGATAGCTATTGCATCTGTGGTGAGTTGCTTTTAAGCAATAAGTAAATCTTCACTTAGCAATATTTACAATTATTTATGCGAGATAACAAAATTCAGTGTCAACCAAATTAACCCAACCAATCCCAACACTGTCGACCATGATCCATTCCCAAAATTCTGTGCAGTATTTTGCCAGCCAATCTCCTCCCATCACACTATGAACACAATTTAAAATAAACTGTAATAATTAAAAAGCACCAGTGATCTGTTAGTAATTTCTGACAATGAAGTTTGGAAAACATTAACATTCAACAGAGTATTCAACTCACATACTACATATTACCTGGAGAAAAACTGATCTAAAAATATACTCTGTTCTGCTGAAAGAAACTTATACTTTGTATTCAAAGTTTTAAGTTCTGGACATGAGAGGCATTACGGTGGATTGAAAATTTGAAGAGCAGAATAATGGACTGATCAGACAAAAATACCTAGAGAATACAGGATTCTTACCCATTTTGTGCAAGGTCAATCAGCACTAAATCCTTTTCTAGGAGAACGACTACAGCATATGGCTCCTGAAAGTCTAAAAACAAGAAAAACTGTTAGATATAAGTAAACATAGCTCTTTGCATACACAGTCTCAAGCACGTGATTGGTTCTTGCAGTTGATCAAAAGTAGAAAAGTGAACTAAATGACTACATAGTTTGTAAAGACATTAAAACACTCTCTCCTAACACTCCAAGTTAACATTAGAAAAGTCATACTCCACCTTTATCTAGCTGCCCTCAATTCTCTTCCAGTTTGTTAGAACCATTTGAATGGCTCGAATAACAGGAAAAGGACCATGCAGATGAACTCATATAAGCAAGAGAGACACAATTATCTAACAATAACATTTCTCCAACCTTGAATTGTTTTTCCTAATTCAACAATAGTGAAATTAATCACTTGCAGTAATGAGTGAAAGACAGATCACATAACATTAAAATAAGAAAATCAAAAGTTTTCAAAGTTTGGCTTGCTGTCTTTCAGAATGACCTCAAATTCCAAGCTATGGAGTTCTAAATACTTTGATGGAAATTGACAGCTAACAAGATAGGAATCAGAAATCATAGCACTAAAGTGAGACGGTTACCTAATCTACGACAAAAAAAAACCAATCCTCTTCTGCAGGAGAGAGATGGTAAGTTAGTGAAGAACATAATGCAAATATTGGAAAGAATAATACAGAAACTAAATTTAAGAGTATTCCACAAATGATGAGCAAGATTTAGCATTGACTGGAAAGGTCTTACGTACACTAATATTGATGAACACATCTGCTGCAATAACTGCAGCTTAAAATTGCAATGATGCTATGTCTGCATATGCTTTAGTTTAAAGGAAAAGAAAAAAACACGTAATTAGCAATCAGTATTTATCTAGAAATAAAAGAAATTTTATTCTAAACTACTCCGACGCTGTGGAAAGAAAAACAGATCTCATATAATAGGGATATCAGATGTTGCTGCTGCACTCTGATTCCCAGAGGTAAAACAGAAAGGCAGTAATAAGGAATACTATGATGGGATAAAACTCCAGACAGAAGAGGTTGAAGTACTCAGAAAAATCTTCACAAAGCCTACCATTAGGATATGGTGTTTCACAGAGAGTTAGAAAATCAACAATAGAATAATCCATTTCTAGCACAGCAGTACTTTTCCCATGCATAACTGTTAAACAGGGTCTTCTTCCTACGGTATCGTATGACAAGCCTCCTGAGAGAATGATGAAAGGCTCCCTGGAATAAAACAGAGGTATATACCGTCAAACCAAGGTAACATGTAAATAAAAGAGATTGGTCAGTTTCTGAATTTTACTATAAGGTTATAAAGAGATATCGTTATGCAGAGATGCATTAAGAATAATGCAAAACTGCTCTCCCTGCAATAACAGCTCTCCACACAATAAGAAGTGAGGGTATATTTCAAAATTGAAAAAGTTAGAGGCCTACTACAACCCCTGTCATATTTAAGACATCTCTTCCAGGCTCTTTCCAGCCACTCATTTAAACTCATCCTAGCAACTGTTTGCTAAGATGAGTTCATTATTATTTTTGTTAAATCTTACAACTGTATCTCTTCTATTGAACTGCAGTTTCAGATTTGCAAACAGCCACATTCATTCATAACATCAAATATTCCAGCAGGATCAGAATCCCAAGGATTTTACTTTTTGTATGGAATGACCATAAAGGTTGAAATCACAATATTTCTCAAAAAGTGCAAAATGATTTTGTGGTCACAATAACGTGGGTACTTAGCAGAAGCAAGCAGCTGTTTGGCAAACTTCAAAGACCTTTTAAGAAGAACATAAATAAATGCCTTTACCTCTCATCACACATTCACTCTAGACATTTTATCTATTTTTCCCCTATCACTGCGCACTAAATTGATTGAACTATTTCTGTGTCAAGCTATACTTCAACTGTACTTGACTGACCAGAGAGAAGCAAAAAGATTTCCAGTGTTGATGGAAGAGGTTACAAGCTTCCCTTTGTGTATATATATATATATATATATATATATATATATAAATAAAAGTTTTACATAAACTTAATATAAAATGTGTTCGCATTTTTTCTAACATGCAATAATACACAATTTATTAAAATAAAATGAAGTACATATATTTATTATTTTTTTCCTTCATTTCCTGTTTACGAAAAAACCACCAATGATTTTAATGTTGTTTGATTAAAATAGGGTATAATACCTTTTAAAGAGAAGAAGGACTACTTACAGGTACATAGATGCTTAAGAAATTACACTTAATTGACAACTTCAATTCTAGGATATATTTCTGAAAGAAAACCAGGCACTCGAAGGGTGCAATTCCTCACATGTACTTTTAAACACACTTAAGGGGAGCAGGAATCTTATCCTTTGTGTTTGTCTTAAGTGGAAAAAGTCAATATGCCAAGCTGGGGATTATTTGTGGGGAAAAAAGATATCCTGTCCTGCTGAGAAAGTGAGGCCATAGAGATGTATTATGTTTCTGTGTTTCCCCACAGCACCATCTTTTCCATATCTAACTGGCTTTCGCTGGTGTTTCAAAGAAGCGTGATAGATTTGGTATATTTTCTTTATAACTGTACATGAAGAGTTCTGTTTATGCACATGCTGGTCCTTATGACTTAAGGGCCTGGCTAAAATAGGCACTCTGGTTGCACTACTGAAGGCAAAGCAGGCTGGGACAGCTTTCATTTTTTCATTATTTTGCCACTTGTCTGATTTTTCAGAAAGCATTTTAACAGAAGAGTTAACAGGATCAAAGAGTTCCATGAACAGATCTCAAAGGAATGACCATAATTTTGACTATGGGTCCACTGATTTCAGGATCACATCTCCATCATGAGCAGAAGTGAAAGCAGTAAGCAAAAGAATAAGGACAGTGCAAGCATTTTCCTTGAAACTTCAAGTGTTCGTTTCACCTCAGTTTCTCATATTGGAACCTCATACAATCTTTTACAATCACGTCCGTAAAGTAATTTCAAGAGGAAAAACTTTAAATTAACCAGATATTTTTCAGGGTGACAACAAAGAGACATCACTAGTGTGATGTGCTTGCAGTATCTCCTTTTACCGCAATGATTCACGGAAGTGTTTTCTCTTCACAAAATGCTTTAGTTTTATTTTTAAATAATGCCATCAGGACCATTTGCAGTAAGAACTGGATCTGTGGATCCACCTTGATCAACTAACAAAACCAAAGTGAAACATTCCAGTTTCTAAGTTTCAAATATAAGAGTGAATATGACATGCCAGTTTCTGCTAGTTTTATTTCTCAAGTTAATCAAGTTGCTTTTGGCAGGCTTACTAAAGATTGTCACCATGAAGCAAGGAATGGAAGAGTTAAGAATAGATTACATGGGTTTTTCACAGATGAATCAAAAAAATCAAGTTGACTTTAGTCTGCCAGAAAAACTAACAGGTTTATGAACTTTACATATTTTCATGCAGCCACAGATTTATAATCAACACAAGCAGTACATCTTTGTATTAAATGCTTAGAGTGTTGTCCTTCAGTTGTGATACATATTAAAAGCACTATAAATAATATTTAATAAAAACATGATCTAAAAGAAAATAATTGTAATTTACATAATAGATAACTACATTTTACTTACCCCAAAGCATAGAAAATATTTAACAAGATGGAAAACATTTAACACAACAGACGGCTCTACAATGAATGGCTCTATATCATTTCTAGAGGCTGATAATACAGATTCCTCTTTCAAAAAAATTTCTGCTTCAGCAGGAATGAAAGCAATAACATTAATTAATTCACATTAATTTGCACATCAGTTAAATATGTAGAATTTCTTGGGGAAAATCCTGCAAGACATCACTATGCAAGGGGGAAACATTTCATGAAAAATAAAATTCAAAACCAACAGGATTAGATCTTGCCATATCAAGACAACTAAAATCAGTAGCTCACAATCCTGGAACAACGTTTTTGCTCAGTTTTAGAGGTAAACTATTAAACTGTTAAACTTCAGTCACTTCAGGCAATCTGTATCAGTGTCAAATCATAAAACCATGACAATCAGTAATTTGGATGTGACATAACATTATATATAGATGGCATGCCACTGGTAACAGCTAGTTTACTTTTCAAACCATGGGTGAATGATCTCTGTTCTGCTCTTCTACTGTTTCTACATTCTGTCAAGAGGTTACTCTCTAATTGTAAAAGTGGAAAAGTCTGCAAGAATTCATTTAACTTGGAAGTCTTAAAAGTAGCAGTGAAAATAAATAAAAATAAATAAATAAAAAATAATAAAAAAATAAATTCGTGTTGGGAAGTGCGTTGTTTTCAAGCAACAAGTTCAGAACACAGAATCATACTATTCAAGCTAAATTCAACAACTTCTACTTATCTGATCACCTTTCATTATTCTTGTAACCTATGAATCCCAATTATACACATTTATCTTCCTTAAAAATGCTGTCAATCGCGACAACTACATGAACTATCAATAGAATGCCCTCTGATTATTTTTATGGGGATACTTACAAGCTATAATTCCTATTAACAGAGCTTTAGTAGTGAAGAATAAGCTGTAGGAATTCCACCATAATTCTAATATCAAACAGAGTGAATATAATGAAGAACTGACTTTGGGGCATGGGAATTTAGTGTCAGGAAGCTCATGTGCTTTGCTGGATATGCTTTAGACAGAAAAACACACAAAGTCATCTCAGAAAACTCAGAAGTTAGCCTATCTTAAGAACCATCACTTCAAAAATCAGAATATTTTGATAAATTTAATCAGCTGGATAATGATGATATTATATTCCACAATTGGAACATTTTGCCAGTTCACTCTAAGCGCACATCAAGAATTTGTCTTTTCAACTCCTGTCCCAGGTACAGAAGGATTCTTAATAGTAACCTTTCAACAGATAAATATTCTCTAAAAATAAAGCTACAGACATACTACTGTTGGAGGTTAAACAAAAGCTAGATTTTGGAGACCACAGACAGTATATCCAGTGAAGTGGGAGAAGAGACCCCCTCAGCTTGCCCTCCTGTTTCCTCCACTTCAGCTTCATGACATTGTGTGTGTAGGGGGGAAAAATGTTAGAGAAGGCATTAATAACAGCTGCAACAATAGAAAGGACAGTGTTTATAACTTCTAGTGTAGCCTGTAAAATCAGTTGCTTCTTCCTTCTGTGTAGTTCTGGACACCTTTTCTAGGAAAAAAAATGTTTATTAGAATTGAAAGCAATAAATAAAACAATTACAGGGAACATAACATGAATTGTTATCTACATGTAGTGATACTGAAACACAAAACCAGATCCTAGATCACTCTGGATAAGGGAAAAGCAGGTAAGAATGGATGGTAGAAAGATGCTTCATGTTGAGCACAGATAAAGCAAATGTGGAATATCTGCTGTTTTTCACAATACAGAAGTCACATGGAATAATTTAAGTACTCATTAAATTGTACCTCTTATTAGCTTATGTTTTTTTGTTTTGTTTTGTTTTCTGATGAATAGTTAGAGCAGACTGCTATAGAAGCAAAAGTATTTTCTTTCCGTACCTAAGTACCTGTGTGACCTGGATAGGAACAAAGAGATTCTCTGCAGAACAGAACTAAAGCCACGAGCAATGAATGACAGTGCTTAAGCAAAAAATTACAATTGCATCATGTTTTCACCTAATCTATTTCCACTGATAAGGAGAAAGACTATAGAAACAGGAAGGACTGAAAGGCAGTTAGCCAAGCTTGAAAATTCTTGTGAGATTACAACTAGAACTGAGAACTCGAAGTGTGAACTCCAAACGTAAAAGCAATTGAAAAGATATTTCCAGTACATTACTTCCCCATCATAGGAAAAATGCTGTTATTCATGTATTTTGACTAAAGTTCTGGAAGAATATCAAAACACACGTGATGCCATAGATTTAGAAGCCCACCAAAGATATTAAAGAGAAATGAAATTGCAATTCATCCAAACAGAATATTTTAATGCACACCAGAAGATGAGAGGTGTAGCAGAAAAAAGTCTACACTAGGAAAAAGTGGTCTCAGCGGACAACTACATATTCTAAAAAACTGTACTAGAGTAAATGTCTGTTTAAAACTGTTTGGAAAGTCAACCAGGCTTTTGACTGCAAAAATTTTAATTCTCTGCAGTTGAGACTTTTTTAGGTTGCTCATATTATTACTTAAATCAACTTCTGATTGTTCACTTGAGAAAAATACATATACTTCAGAATACTTCTGCTGGCAAAATATGACTTTTCAACTGCTCATGGATATTCAAACATCTAAGCAGAAACCTTAAATTTCTCTCTTTTAGCAAATAAATTAAATTACCTCTCTTTTAGCAAATAAAATTACACACAAGTGTAATAAATAGCAAATAAAATTACACTGATAGTGTCTGTGTAGGTATACTGAAATATATCTGAAATCAGGTTTACATCAATTAATGATGTTCTATAGATCTGAATACCTGGAAATCAAACAAAACAGTACATAAAAATACATAAATTCAACATTTGTAAATAGCTAGGCAGTCTCCAAATATATTTTATCCTTATACTGCACTTTTTACTCAATCATTTTAAAGCATTTTTGAACCATAAAGAAAAGAAATCCCATGCAGTTAATGAAATTCTTCAATCCTAATTGCAGTCTTGGTAACAAACCATGCTACTCAAGATACTGTAAATTCCATCTGAGCCTTGTGTTGCATTTACTGCTTTGTTACATTTTCAATGTGCATAATTAAGCACAATTCACTGCATAAATTACTGTACTCTCCCAGAACAGCTCCATCAGTAACATTTTAGGAGAATGCGGGGAGAGGAATGTGTATTCAGAATTTAGAGCATCTGCAACAGGCCACTATTTTTCCCAAGTTCAGCTTTTCAGGTCTCTGCATTTCAGTGTGTTCTGTGCTTTATCAGTCTTTTTTTTCTTTAACAATAAATGTTCTCAGAAGACTGAGCAAAAATACCTAGGAGTTAGTTCTAATAACATAGAAGAAACGTGTAAACAGTAAACCAGCAGTATTGTCACCTAACTTTTATGTACTGTGTTCACATTCATTCTGACAGTTTATTCAGCACTATCTGATCTACCAGAACAATTTCAGCTATTTTTAACCGTAGCTCAGTGCCACCAGGATACACATCCCAGCAACTGGGAAACAAAGGACATTGTTAGAGAGAATTTATTTTATGTATGTAAGCTTCATATAGAAAACAAGTCTTACCCAGCTCTAGTTGTTTTATATTCCACCTTAAGAATAGGCTTGCAGGGCTCTGGCTTCTTTCCATCCTTCAGCTGCTTTCCTAAAGAGATTTTTTTCTTATATTAATCTTACCACTCCATATCATGATGACAAATTATGAAATCCACTTTGCAACTTACAAAGTAGAACATTCATACAAACATATATCGAACACGTGGCAGTGATAGAATATGCCTTGAAATACCATAAAAAGATTGTTAAAACTGTCACATCACATGAAATATTTATATATATATACTTCATAGCTTTTGAGTGTTGTGAAACACTGGCTATCAAAAATATAATCCTCAAAGTAATTTTACAGTAATTTGAAATAGCAGAGTGATGTATCTCATGTCTACTGTTTTGCAATTAAAATTGCTCAGCTTAGAAGTTGAAGTTTATTATGAGCACTTGAGTTTGAAAATGAAGGGTCATTCTTTCTGTACTTGTCATTATTAGCAACTAAAGCTTCATATTTAATTTTTACAAACTCCATGGAAAATTTTAAGTATGGTGTAAATACATGAGCTCTAACTGCACATTGATAAAAGTTGATGCAACTGTAAAATTCTGCAGAAAACTTAATTTGCAGCCCAATACCAAAATAATATAGGATAACAAGGAAACTAAAAGCAAAAGCTTCTTTTCTCTACTCTGATCCTCAACCACTATAGTAAGCAGGGACTTGCTGGAGTCTCAGACAAGTAAATCAGGATGCACAACTAACCTCAGAGATATCTCCACCACTGCATTCACACTTATGAGTCTGAGGTAAACGAGCTGATAAAACATGACTTAAACACGTACAACAAGCAGACCTCACATTTGTATACAATTCCTTTAAAGAGCAGAAGCATATTTCACAGCACAACACACAATGTTAACCTCTTAAACTAAAATTAACACAGAATTACCTGAGAAGTGTGAACAAATTACCAGATGCTAGTCTTACTCTGTTACAAATCTTTCAAAGAATTTCTATGGTGATACGTTTAATCGTGTAACAGATGCTTATTTATTTTTGGTAATGCACATTTTAAACAACATCTGGGATTGCAATGTTAAGCAAAAAAGAAACTTTTTCATATTTTGGAGAGCTAACTTCATGATCAATGTCACTGTGTAAAAATCAACCTAAAGTTCAGAGATTCAGATATCCTTGCATTGATTTGAACTCCCATTTCACAAAAACTAGGTTTTGTGTAGGTGTTTGGTTTTTTTCATATGAAATCTATCAAAACTTGATATGACAAAAAATTTACTTTCACTGCAAAATTTAATACATGGCTTTTAAAATGCTTCCATTAAAGTTAAGATCTCGTTGGGTCCTAAGAGCTGTCAAGCATTTCCAATCTTACCATGTGGAGTGATTGTCTGGAATGGTTTGGTGGGAGATTTTACGTTCCATATGGTCAAAGTACCATCTGAGTGACTACAAATAAACTGTTTTCCTTCATGATGCCAAGCCACAGAGTGGATAGCCTATGCAAGAAAAAAGATAAAAAAACAAAACCACATAAGACTAGTATTTTAGTATTATTTTACCCTTGCTCCTTCCTTGATGACACTATGCAGCAAAACAAAATTAGAGAAAGTATTAATTAAATCATATTGCACTTAGTATATACTAAGATTTCAGTGCTGCAGTAATTCAGACTTTCTCCATCATGTAAGCAGCCTTCATTGCAATAACATGTTTAAGTATTGAGCAAAATGCCCATACTAAGATCATCTTGATGAAATTATTAACTTAAAGCTTTACATATAATTTCGAGATTCCTATATGGATGTGCACAAGAGCAAACAACAGCTGAAAACACAAGTAAGACAAGAACAACAAGAATTGAAGTAATGACCTATAAGATTTTTCAGAAGAAATTAAACATTTCAGCTTTAGATGATGAAAACAAAATATTAGCGTGAGTAAGCATTTTGATTCAGCAATTCTGAGGAAGCTACTAGTAAATCTTATCACAAATACAGAAATGTCTTTATGTAAATAAAATTAATAAAATTAAGAAGGGAACAATTAGCCACTGCGCATGAAACCTTACTGCAGAAAAACCTGATACAGTGAAATCTACTTGCTGCCTTTACGTAAGCTCAGATAAAGCAAAGAGATTAACTAGTAAGATTAAATGATGGTTCCCATCTCTGCTTCCAGTATCTCTGCCAGTAGATGAAGACATTATGAAATTATGAAAATATATTTAGTTATATTTAATTTTACTTATAGCATGAAAATATCAATAAACAATGAAAAATTCAAGCATTTCTCTATTACTCAAATGGCACAGAAAGAAGCATTACCTGCTAGAAGCATGGAACTTTGATTCTGTTGAGAAAATAGATTTGCTTAATACTTATGGCAGAGGCAACACTGTAGGTAAACAGAAAGCTGGAGCTGAATAGGTTAACACTAATATGCTGTACAATACCATCTTTTGGATGCATACCCTCAGTAGAGATTCTGTCTGTAACTGTCAGCAGGCCTTAGACTTACTCAATTTCCCACGTACATATGGATTTCCTCTGCAAGGAATCCTACCAACCAACAGAAGCGTAGGCAGTAAATTACTTAGTAAAGAGCAAATCACAGAAGACAGATGTAAGATAGTTTCGCCTAAAGTGATTTTACAGAGATTAGATCATCACATTTCATAATGTTATACAGAAGAACAAGATAGCTTCCAGCAACATGACTGGGAGAATCCAAAGACTCAATGAAAGACGAAAATGACTGCACTATATGAGTGTGGAGTCTTCAATAAAAACTGATTCAATTGAAAATGGTAATAGGTCTGGATAGCTGCAGACTAAGTCTGGCATTTCTTACTCAAATTTAATCTTATTCCCTGTTTTGAGTGGAATCACTGTGGAAGACAGACGAATATCATATCTGCACAAATTTAGCTTTGGAACTTATACATCTTATATGAATTTACTTAGAGACAAAATCTTGCTCATTCAGTCTGAGGCAAGAATATAATTAGCAAATAAAAACAGAAATTATAAAAGAAATATAATGTAATCTTGAAAATAAAATTATTTACCAATAGAGTACCGAAGTCAGGGATTAGCATGTTTGAAATTATAGAGTATCTAAAGACAGCGTCTGAAAAATCTCTCTTTACTAGGAAGTTGTACAATATAATAAATAAAAATGATTCCTATATGGAGTCAATTCCCACAGTGTAAGCCATTCTTGATGCATTTGTGCATTAATAGATCCTTAGAATCAACAGAGAGGCAATCTGTATAAAAGGAAGAATAACTGAGAAATGGAAACACTTTTCCTGAAAAAAGGTCGAGCTAAAGGGATCTATAACAATCTATTATTATGGAAATGGCATTAATGTTTATGAATGTTGGAGATTGAATAAACTGAGCACAGAGAAGAAAGAATTGCTAGCACAATTTCTGCAAGGAACTGATGAGATGGAAAGTATTCTAAAAATGAATAATGGTGCCTTGGTTCTAGGATTTCACTGACAAATTTTAAAGAACATCTGGTTAAATCTAATGATGCAGTTAAATATTACGTAACACATAATAGATACTTTACGTATTTTAGAAATAATTCAAATTATCTGGGCAGAGTGTGAAAAACTTTTGTACAGAGCACTCTTCTATTACACAACTCACAGCTTTTGCAAGCAATAGCTGATATGAAACCTGAGAGAATTAGAACTGTTTAACCTGGAGAAGACAGAGAGGGATCTCATTAATGCTTATAAACATTTAAAGGATGGGAGACAAGAGGATGTGGCCAGGCTCTTTTTGGTGTTGTACAGCAACAGGACAAGGGGCAACAGGCACAAACTGGAACATAAGAAATTACATCTGAACATGAGAAAAATCTTTACAGTGAGGGTAACAAGGCACTGGAACAAGATGTCCAGAGAGAGTCTCCTTCTATTGAGATATTGAAAACCTTCTTGGATGCTTTCCCGTCTAACATACTGTAAGGAACCTGCTTTAGCAGAGAGTTGGACTAGATGCTCTCCAGAGGTTCCTTCCAACCACTAAGACTCTGTGATCCTGTGTAACCAGCTGTAGCATAATCTCCAGCATCTCATGGAGCTCATTTTGATGCAACAGAATGTGCAAGACATGAAGACTGCACAGACATGCTTTGGTTTCTGACAAGTCATGTGTCAAGGTTGTGCTCCCCTCATCAGTTTTTGTTTCATTTATTTTTAAATCCCACAGGCTAATTCGACATCTTTTTATTGCTCCAAAATAATCTCTTACAGTCATGTACAAGAAGATTGAACCTAAAAATAGTAGTCAGTAATACGCCCGTTGAGTTAATGCTACCAAAGCTTAATTTAAATCAGGACAAACAAAATACTTGAAGAATGGACTTACTGATAACTAAAACAAGTTATTTTAAAGGTTCCATTTCATTTTGTTGTTGTTGTTACAAACCAACTTACATTTGAGACATTTGTTTTACTTCTTTCATGACTGTAAATGTAGAAAGGGAAACATCTGCTTGATGAACTGTACTCCATAAAGAAAAAAACTGCTTAAAAACATGTCTCCAGTGTTTGGACATAAAAGACTTTAAAATGATGCAAAAATAATTCAGTCTTTTTTTCCAATAAGTTTGTCTAAAAGAAAAAAGAAGTGTGTTTGCAGGAAAGGCTAGCAGAAAACTTTCTTAGACAAGTTCCTTTAAAGCTGCAGTTTTATTGCATCACGTCTTCCAATTTCTGAATGTTACATTCATGCACTCTTACAAATTCTCTAAAGAGTTGTCTTTGTATTAGATTGTTACCATAATGAAAAGTATATACATCTTATAGTTTAGGATGATGATAATAATTGTGATTAAAAAAAAAGATCAAGAATAAATTTTAACTAAATTCCCTGTTATAAATTGGAATATTAGGCAGGGGACAATACTTTGACTACCAGCACTAGCACTAACCATGATTTAAAGCTGCCTACTCCAACCATGGTTAAGCAGAAATATGGTTAAAACTGCATTCTGCAATGGTGGTGTTGTTACCCATTCCTTAAGCATTCCTTTCCTTGGAGTGAGTGCTCCTACTTTTGTGCTGCAATTATGAGGGTAGAGACATGGGTAGGCATGCATTTTCAGACAAGAAAACATGGATAGCGTTCCACTGACCTAGCATTTAGGCAATAAATTAACCTGTCATATGACAACATTGGAATTTGCTTCAAGAGAGCCTCTTTAATTGTCAGAGAATTCTGAACAGAGCCAAACAGAAAGTTTAAAAGGCTGTAATAAGATTCAGGGCTTTTTTTCCCCATGGAAGTAGCACAGCTATTTTGCCACAAACCTCTGATCATGCAGGAAGGTTGATATCATCGTTTGTGTTTAGAATAAGATAGTCAAAGGATAGCATTTGGACCCCTGGACAATTGTGAAATTTTGAGTCAAAAAGTTTCATTAAAGATAGTGGTAGATTGCACTACCCCCAACTTGTTTTTGAAGACTAATCTCAACTAAAAAGCAATAAGAGCAGAGAAAAGCAATCCAACAGCAGAGTTTTTAAATACCCTTCACAGTATAAATGTGTTCGACAGTCCCGTTTTTGACATCTGATGAAGTCTAGGCACCAATTAACACCCAGCTGCACTCAAAATATAGCAATGCTATGAAGTCCACACATTTCTCTTAGAAAAACACTGCACAGGTAGAGAGAAACCTGCTCCATTCCATGACAGAGGCACGTGTAACTGTGCTGCAGCACCAAGCTCTGCTGTAACTCCCAGCAACAACAAAGAGCACAGCCTAGATAGAGCACAGGGATTTTTGAACAGGTGTAGACTTAGGCTTCACCTTCTCAGTGATGGGTGACTGAATTTAATTATAAATACACAATTAACTAATATTATCAGAAGCACACCTATTCTCAATAGGGTTAAAGACAGAAAAATATTTTCACAGTGCTAATATGCAAGCCTGATTGACCAAACATGTTCCCTCTGTGACACACTTTAGCAGCTTATTTTGCAGTTTAGTCAGGAAGAAGGAAGACTTCTCACAAGACAGCATTTCCTATGTATGAAGAAGCCACACACTCGGAGATTTCAAATATGCCAAGACTGAACAAATTTGCTCTTGCTTTCCTGATTGTCAGTTCCTTATTCAAAAGAACTTTTATCAAGAAGCAATGATGCAGAGATACAAAAGTTGAAACTGTGCAAACTGCATCAAATCCAACTTCAAAAAGGGGCCATTATTCTATCTTTCTTTTAGAAGATCAGATTTATATAATTTGCCCACTGAAGAAATCATTTGTTATTCAGCAGTGAACAGATGAGAACCAAGTGCACACATTAATTCTTTGTTCAAAGAGATATTTTTCTTAAAGAGCAATCTAAACTCATAGGCCACACTTCAACTTTTAAGAAAAATTTAAAGGGCCAATGAATTACTATTATTTTTTATTGCTGTTATTTTAATTAAGGCAATCATATCATACATTGATTCTCACTAATGAGAACTCATTAACCAAAGGATTTGACCTCAGGTACTTTATTACCTCACTGTCAGAGAAAAAAAATAACAAATATGGTAAGCAGATGTATTCATTTCGACATCCTCAAGTCAGAATCACAGAATGGCTTGGGTTGGAAGGAGCCTTAAAAACCAGCCAGTTCCAACCCTCTGCAGTGGACATAGTTGCCACCCATGAGGTCAGGCTGCCCAGAGCCCCATTCACCCTGGCCTTGATGGCCTCCAGGAATGGGGCATCCACAGCTTCTCATCCAGAGCTCATGCCAATGCCTCATCACCCTCTTAGTGAAAGAAATTTAGTGGTTTCTTTTCCCTCCAATTTTCAGAATATGAGAGAAGTTCCAAATTACAACAATTGCTAAGTCATTTTATTTCAACTGAAGACTCAGGCAGTTAATGTAGGTGAAAGTCACACTTTTTCAACCAAAAAGAAAAGAGCTGGAAGGTTCACCCCCTTAGAAATTGGCAGAGAAATTCCACCATTCATTACAACAAATTTCAGACAGCAAACACTTCTTCAGAGAGAAGATTCCCATGACTCTTCTAGAGAACGCTTCGAGTTTTCACCATTTCAAAGAGACCTATATTTATTAAATCACTGGCAAGAGAAGAATTGTTATCCTTAGAACTGTGGATAATGTTCTATTAACATGTAATACAGACAAAAATATTACCTCATCATGTGTGTATCTGTAATCAGCCTTCTTTGACTTCAGATCCCATAATACCACTGTTCCAGACTCAAAGCCAATCAGAAGCTGCAATAGTAAGCAAAAATATTGCCGTTATAGGGATGAGCAAAGTGCCATTTACATAGCCTGTAGATCTTGTCCCAAAGAGATGAAGAATAACACTAGCTGAAGTAACTACAAAGTGATTATTATGACAGAAATTAGTGATAAGCTGTGAAAACTTCAATATTTGAGATTTACCTTGTGCTGGATTTCACTCTCCCAAATTTTCAGTTAATGCAATGCTAATATAACTAAAATTCATTCAACATTAGGAAAGAAAAAGGTATTTATCTTCCAAATAGTCCTTGGAAATCCATTTGAGTTCCAGAACGCACAACATTAAGCTCCTTCCTAACTGTATGCCTTTCAGAATGAAAACCAGGGTTTAAAGGTGAACGTTTTCTTCATTAATGTATGTCTTCCTCAGTGGAACGTGTTCCTCAGTGGAATTTCTTATTCTTAGATTTGCTGGAAGAACACATTGTCCTTCCTGAAGCTCTAGGTAATGGTTCATTGTCTCTAAGACAAAACATTACTATAAACTTCCTCCAGCTGTTAATTAAAATAGAGATATTTGTCTAAAGAAAGAGATTATTGGCTAAAGAAACAAAAGGAATTTTAGTTTTTGAGAGGAAAGTTAGAGAGAAATTAAAGGGAATCATCTTTTTCAAGAAGCAAAACTAAGCCATTTTTGCAAGGAACGAAGATTCAAATTGCTCATAATAACTGCTCTAACACGCTGAGCATCTAAGTGTTTTGCCTTCCTATCTTAAGTGGCACTTCTCATAATGAAAACAAACCAAGGCCAAAATAAGGCAGTAGCAACAGACTAGGCACTCATCATATAGTAGAAGAATGTAATGCAGCTTGCTATTACGTAGTAGCTGGATCTACTCTGAGAGCCTATCTTTCCAACAATATTGTTAAAGTAGTTCCAAGCATCAAGCAGAAGGCCTTCAATTCAACCTTTTTTTCCCATATAGGAATTGAATAAAGTCTGCAGATGTATTCGGTATTCAAGGAACTTATGCGTGCAGAGGTGCCCATTGGAGCGCCCTTCATAGTACAAGAAAACACTGTCTTCCCAATACACGCCGTTGTTGTTACAGAGATCTACATCAATACAGTTTATTGCTGTACCTAGACATTTTACATGGATAATTTTTTCAGTATTAAGATTTTCAAAGTTGGCAATCCTTTGCAAAAAGAAAGTAACAGAGAACCTGTGTGTATCTGTATCTGGAGAGCAGGACCAGGGAAGTCATCCTGCCCCTGTACTCAGCTTTAGTGAGGCCCCACCTCAAGTACTGTGTTCACTTTTGGGCACCTCAGTACAGAAAGGACATTGAGGTGCTGCAGCAGATCCAAAGAAGGGCAACAAGGCTTGTGAAAGGCTTGGAGAATATGCCCTACAAGGAGAGACTGAAGGAACTGGGACTGTATAGTATGGGGAAAAGGAGGCTGAAGGGAGACCTTATTGCTCTCTTCCAGTATCTGAAAGGTGCTTACAGCGAGAGTGGGGTTGGTCTCTTCTCACTGGCGACAGGACGAGGGGAAATGGCCTCAAGTTGCACCAGGGCAAGTTTAGGTTTTAAAAGTTTTAAGAAATGAGTACACAGGATGTTCTTGCAACTACACAGGCACTATATTTTTAGGGATACTTTTCATATTAGAAAGAGGACAGTAAGGTCATTCTAAAAGACTGCCCTACATTTTGATTGATAAAACAATATGCCTTTAACGTTAATTGACAATATTTAAGCATTAAAATGCGGATACAATACACTGAACTAAATAGATCACTAGTCTTCCCTAAAGTTACCATAGTTTCATTACTTTTATGTTCTATGGTCCATTATTCTAGAATGTGATTCAGACCTAACCCTGCAGAGAAACCCAGTAGCTACACATTCTTTCTTTAATGAGTTTCAGCTGAATGGAAAAGCTGTACTCGTGAAATTCTTTTTGCAGCTAATCTGTGTGCATCTAGGTTAGAAGCTTACAACTACCATTCAAACCACTGTTGAGACAATACCATCATTGCCTTCAGTTTTATCCACTGTGAACTTGTCAAACCAACAGAAAATAAGCAGAAAAATAGTATTTCTACTGCACACATGGAACAGGAGAAAGAAAATATTTTCAGTTTCTCATTCAAGGTTCTTCACAATTGCGAGTTCAAAATGCTTTGATATATCTGAGCCATTACACTGACAGAAATAGACATTCAGAAATTAATTCCTCCATACATTCAATCACTTATGCCTGAATACTCCAGAGGGCAGTCATTAATCAATTTGTTTCAAGTGGCATCAAGGTCTCTGTGGAATATCTGGCTAAATTATAACCATACTTCTGTCATGGGCCAAGCACTTTTGGAAGAGATGTGTACTGACTACTTTTCAAATTCCTCTGGCAAATTCTACTTAACTCCCACTGTGAAAGTTAAGGAAAACCCTTCCTGTTTACTCTTCAGTGTGGACCAAAGGACCCAAGCAGAATTTGCAGTTTGATTTGCTAAATAATTATATGAGCCAGAAAAGCTAAACAAGCCCCAGATCCTTCAAAGAATAGAAGAGTCATATGATCCCTTCCCTCCTATGACTTAGAGAAGATGTCTGACACCTGAAGCACAGACTCAGTCTTGCAATCATGACTGAAGTACAAATTGAATTACAGAATAGTATATATTTCTGTCTGCACTTGATCATGTATAAGTGATTCTATAACATGCAACAACACTACAGAAATAAGGCACCTGGGAAATAGATAAGACGAAAATAGAGAACATATTCTAGTACAAATGGAAGCATAACTTTATACAGACTCCTGAGAATCTCCAAGAATTTCATTGTTTTCTAACACAACGGTCTCCTCCCAGTGTAAACAAAGAAACAGTAGAACACAGCCAATAAAGCACTGAATTAACATGTCTTGCAAAACCTTTCTCTATAAAGAAAGTGCGGTACCACAGTAATTGCCGCTGCACAGAAAATAAGAATTAAGTCTAATCTCCTTGCCTTCTCTTTTATTTAATTCATGAAGCCTTCATTGTGAACTTAAGTTATCCATGTCATTTTTGTGTGATCCCTGTAAGAGATCTCCCAGAGAAAAGAATAATACCTGAAGTTTTATTCTAGTAACTCAGAAAGAACTGCTGCATTTAGGTTACAGGTTTGTTTAGTAACATTTAGGTTTTAGTTTGTTTAGTAACATTTTAATTTTTACCAAAATAAGTAACATACCTTGCTTTTGATTTCAAGCATTTTTTCAATTAAACATTTTCAGCTTTTTTTTTCAACATTTCTGATTACAGGATGCATTCAACTATTCTAGTAATACTTCCTACAGTTGTATCTGCATCTTGTTTCATGCTATTTTCAAAGCTTTTCTTCATGTTTCCAATATGGTCCTCAGCTAAGGAATCCTTTCTTTTTAAAGAAGTGGTATTCACATTTGAAAACAAAAAAATCTTACTTAAAAAACAGTTTATTGAATAGTCTACAATTATACCCTACCTTTCCTTCATCCATTGGATTGTCACTAATGTGGACAATAGGTCCTGGGTGAGATTTGGATGACCTAAACAATAAACAAATCCAATTAAAAGAAAAGAAATACCTGTCCAAAATAGCATTTCATAAGATAATTACAAGCAATATAAAAAAGTATATATTTATGCACTCTCACAGCAAAACAAGATTACCCCTACTACACTAATTAATCCTAAAAAAGCCTCTTGAGCATGGAAAACATTGTATTACTTAAAAAACGAAAACATCAGTAGTGTTTCATACAATATGCACTCTATCTGCCTCTTTTCTTCAAAAACTGGAATACAGCTGACTTCCATCCTGTTGTATTTCTGCATTCTCACAGGAGATTATCTAAACACAACCTATCTCCAAAAACAATAGTTATTACAGGCAAAACTAAACCCACCCTATTATTTCTATAAAGCTTTGCTTCCTTTAATCCTAATTATCCGAAAAGCTACATTTTTGTTTTCCTCTTTCTTCCACTTCGAACATTTGAAGACAAGAGAATATAATACAGTTTCATTTAACATTTTCATTTTTCCATTTTCATTAATTCTTCACTGAAAAAAATTAAAAAAATAAAAGCTATTTCTTGAACTTAGTATATTTATATCCTTATAATTGCTGTAAAAAATTATACTTTTTTCCTGGAATAGGCTTATTTAAATTTATATTTTAAATGAGTAACGTCAGAATACACATTTTTTACACTGTAGAAGATTATAAGGATTACTAAAGCTAATTATTCCTGAAGACATGCTGATGTTTTACAGAGTTCTGGGCATCACAGCATGAAGTCAAATCAGAAATAGTTTTCACAAATATAAAAACAAATCTGCATATGGACTTATCTTTCCCTCTAACTGCAGAAAGTGACTTGCACAGCCTATATAAGCCACAACATATTTTTCCTAATTCTTTAATAATCGTAGATTTTTATGTCTATTCCAGGCATTGTGGTAAGAGCATTACAGGCTTAATGTTAATGTTTATGTTAACATTATCACTTCACTTTCATGAGAATAGAAGTTATTTACATGTTTATTTACTTTGTCCACATACTTGATGTGCTGAGAATAATATTAAGTATGAATATAATTTCTGCATCTGATATTAACAACGTTTAGGACACTTCTGTTCTCTCCCCTCAATAGATAATTCTTGATTACACTCACAGTTCAATGGCTTTATTCCACATGATGACATAGCCTGAGAGAGTGAATGATTCCACATTGACGATGTGAATGTTTCCTCTTTCAGTGCCCACATATAGCCATTTACTTTGGAAAGGCAGATGACAAAATGTTATCCTGAAAAAGAACACCACCAGAAAAAGGGATTAGAAGTCTTAATAAATCCTGCATTTCAAGTTCTACATTCCCAAAGGGTAGAAGAAATGCAGCAAACAATATGCAGGTAGAGAAAATTAGTAAAACCAGTACGCGGTGAAAGAGATTCTCAGACAATGTAAAACTTAGAAAAAACACCAAATATAAACCAAAATATTCTAAGACTGCTAAGTCATTCAGATATAAATCACACAGCTGCCTTTGAAAATTATCACATTGAATGTTATTCCTCAAGATTGCTGTCATTTTAAACTTAGAATACAATACTCCTATGTTACAATCCACAAATTTCCCTTCAGAATCCATCAAACTCTAGGTTTTGAAGAACAGAGGATTTTTAGAATTAATCCACTACTGTTTAAGCTGGTTTCGAGTGAGGAAACAGAGAGAAAATAGAAGCTAATAAAAGTATGCTTAAATGCGAGCCAAAGCATTCCACAAAGAGCAAACCTGAAAAAAAGAACAACATGAAACCTAAGCAATTGTAAAAGTTATTTAAAAATTAGTTTAAAGTTGGTGATATCATTTGACTTAAATCACATTTCCATTTCCTGCCTTGTATTTCTTCTTTCTTTCCTCTGTTGATAGATGGAAATAACTGAACAAAATCCATATCCTAATTGCTATCAACACCAGCAAGTAACTTTTTTTTTTTTTTTTTTTTTTTAAACAGTATCTCCAGTGAAAAAGTTATTATTTTAAAGTTTGGTTATTTCTGGCTACTGGAATCCTGTTTATTTTTTACATTGTTGTCAAAATTGATACAGCAATGAAGTCTGCTTAGAATTGCAGATTCTAAAGTATTTGAGTTTTCTACATAACAGAAATATAGAAATTACAGTCTAAAAATTTTCTAGATGATGTTTTAGAATTTACCGTTGTCTGATATGGTCCAATACATAAAACAAACTACTTGTGCTATAAAACTAGGGTGTTTAAAAATGTTTCGATGATAAGGTACAATACTTATGAAATGGAAATTTGTTCTGTCAACTCTAATCCTTAGCTTTACAGATTTATTCTTATTTTCTCCCAGTTGGACTCCCTTCTTGTCAAATGCATGCATCATTTCACAATCCTGTTAATAATTATTTATGCAAAGTACAGCCTTAGATCCTTTGCATTAGATGTTCTATATACTTATTTAACTTCGGCACAAAAGCAAATGCTGAAAGCAGCAATGGAAAAATCTACTAACAGTTGAAAAGACGTTATTTTGTATTACAGACTTCAGACGTTATAGCTTTTCTTGTAATGTTACCTGGATCTTTTTTATATCACTAATAGACTTCTAACTTGGAAATATTGTTTGCTCAGGCAAAACTTCAGTTTACCCATTTTCAAAGTGTCTGATTTTTTATGTTTTAATATTTAAGCACAAAGGTTGCACTACCATTTTGCACTGATGTTTTACAGAAAAAAGGACTACATACAAGATTTTAAGTGCTTCAACTCAGTAAACCTGCAAACATAACATTTTTACTATAGATAATAATTTGCAAGCACTGCTGCTTAAACACTTGAATATAATCAACTTGCTTGAAGGACAAAAATGATTTTATTTGAAGTTAAATCATATACATGCACATCTATTAGACAGGACTCCCAAATACTGCTGTCCAGTAACATATTCTCCCACTATGAACAGGTAATGGGGTAGAAGAAGAAAGGCAGCATGAGAAAAGGGGGAGAAAGAAACCCTCAGCAATTTGTAATGCTATAGGTTTTTTTTTGTTTTTTTTTGTTTTTTTTTTGCCAGGATTCCATCTGCCAGAAGAAGCTGGCAGCCACATCAGCTGGATCTAAAACTGTGGTCTAGCAGCCAGAAAGAATATTCAGGAGTAGGGCCATGAGTATATCTGTATTGATTTGTAAGTTAATATTACCACCTATAGAAGTCCAACACTCATTATAAAAAATGAATCTATTCTGTGTCATTTAAAGGTGGACCAAAATATAAGTTGAGGCAGCAACTTCGATTACTATAGCAAAACGGCAACAACTGAAGGAAAAAGTGCTCATCTCAATGCTTTTAATGCCTTTATGGAATAGTTCTAGGTTATACAGCTGCATTCGATTTACTGTCTTCTCTGTGCAGCAGAGATTAGTTTTGTCAACAGTTATCAAGCAGTGAAATGCTTCCACACCAAGAGTAAATTACATTTGACCAAGTAGCTTTACAAAACATTTACAAAATCTCTAAGTTGGGAGCTTGATAAGATTTCAGAATTGTAAGTACAGGTATATACAAAGCAGTGTTCCTAGTCTTATCCTTCCAAATGTGCTTTTACCACCCTTCTATAATCAGTCTTGTATGATGTCTATATAACTATAAAATATTCCTTTAGAATTTTCATGGTTTACAGAAATGATGACTAGCTAAATCCAAAAGGATTTAGGATCATGCCAATCGTGCCATGATCACTGTTTCACAGAATCACAGAATGGTTTGGGTTAGAAGGGACCATTTAAGATCATCTAGCTCCAACCCCCCAGTACAGACAAGGATTTCATCCCTAATGTAATACATGCTTGCTCCACTTGCAAGTAAGTTCACTTGCTATTTATTTTCAATTTTCAGAAAATCTATTACATTTTCATCTACTTAAATAGATTAATTTCAGAAAACAGCATTTATTTCCACATTCCACTTACAGAATTACATTACAATCCACATACTGAGGTTCTTTTTCAGTGACTAAGACTTCAAATAAGACACTACTTTAAAATCAGCCTATGTCAGAAATTTTATCACCCTTTTACAAAAATGAATTTCAGAGAAGCTATAGCTCTCTTCACCAGTGAAATCACACTAGCACGTCAGTATACAATGTAACATTCAGTGACCCAGCTTGTTTTATTTAAAATTGGAATTGGGGTTAAAAGAAGTACAAACTTGTTGGAGGGTGCAAAAATAAGTCCAAAGGCTTTCTTGGTAGTCAGGTAGCTCTCTCCTGGCCTAGGGCATCATGTATTTGTTTCTTAAGACTACAGACTTTCCTTCAGATACCTATTTCTCTGCCAAATTATACTCTGTAGCTAATACATGAAGACCTATGAAAGTATGAATTGCCATACCATGTGTACCATACATTTCCTACATTCAAGCCTTCTTACCCTTCTCTTCCTACCCCACCTCCAATCCCCAAAAACCCAACAAACAATGGCTGGACTGAAAGCATCATAGATACACTGAACTCAAGGAACATTTCTTGCCAAGCCTTTTCTAGCATACAAATCCCAACTGCCTGACAGCAATCAGTCAAGAGCAGAGTATCAGACATTTTCTTGCCTGCATCAAACCGCTTTGACAAAAAACACCAGGAGAGAGGCATCCATTAAAAAAACAGACCAGTTTTGTGCTTCTGAAGAAACACCTTAAGTGGGACTACGTGAGCAAGTGATGACAGAAAGCGAGCTTTTGCAGGCAGTTCTTCCATGGCACAACAAATTCATCGTATTATATCTCCCCAGAAATTTTGATTACCTTATTAAGAACAATACATTTTGTGACACTGATGGCACAATGCAAGTATTGTGCACAGTACTTTATTCCACATATTTTGCTTCTCAATCCCTGTGCAAATAAAGAAGTCCCTTTATAGAAGAAAGCAATGTTTCCAAGAGATTTTTTTTATTTTAAATTCTACAATATGATTTTAATGTATGCTGATGTTATTGCTAAAATGAGGTACTGTTATGCAACCCCAAAACAGTCAGCATAGTTCTAAAGTAGCTGTACTTCTCCAAAAGCACAAATTCTTCCTCCTCGCTGCATACACACTCACAATGCCACTTCTCCATCTTACCCCTAAAAAAACCCAAACACAACAACTACAGAAGCCAAGAAAAAGTTTAACTGTGAAACACATTTGTCAGAGTTTGACCAGTTATTCCTAGGAAAATGATTATATACAGAAAATCCAGTGTTACATTAGCAGCAGAAAATATTGATAGAAGTCCTAAACTTCGCAAAAAAAAAAAAAAAAAAAAAGTATTTTTTTAGCTGTACTTTTAATATAATCTGTGCTACTGCTTATGGGAAAGTATTAGAAATGATACAGAAATGATAGACATCTTTAACTAGCCATTTGGAAATCTACTGAAAAGATTTTCTTTCTTTACTGCAGACCATGTCTTTTCCAGTATCTGTTCAAATTAGTTAAGAAAAATCTCGATTGTGGTTGTGTCACAACATACATCAAATCATAATTATAGCAAATTATAGTATTCCCGAGTGGAATTTAATTATGGAAAACTCAAAGAATAAAGTTTATTACACTAATATGTAAGAAGGCTAATTGTTCCAATTAAGGGAAATATTAAGTAAAAAAAGATGGACCATTATCTTGAGTGTATTATTATGACAACAAACAGCCTTCTAAATTAATCTTTACCTTCCTTTAGTCTACTGCAGTATGAAATATTATGTTCTTCAGAATTTTGCACAGCTTTAACAAAGCACAGCATCAAATGCTTAGATGAATGACAAGCACTGGTAACAGGTTTCCTTTTCAAGTAATTAAAACTACTTCTAGAACCTCACACTATCATTATATGTCCGTAGTTACTGTAATTACATTAGCTGATCAAATCATTACCAGAGACGCAAAGAGCAATGTTAACCCACCAAAGTTGCCTTCTGCATACTTATGACTTTCTTCAAGCTTTCACATGTAGAATAGCCACCATATAAAACAGCAAAACTTAAAAGTTTGAAGTCCTATGTTAGACTAGATTCCATATCCATGGACCCCATTTCAAGTCTTCAAACGGCACAAAGTCAAAAGCCATTCTGATGGAACAAAGCAGCAGCTGTGTTTTTCCCGTACTGCTGTAAACGAGCTACTTCCAAATTACTGGTAACAGCAACAACTTAAAATATCTACTTGTATGAAGAAAAGGCCTGAAGAGGCAGGAGGCACATGCAGAGAAAGTCTTCTTCAATGCCTCCCAAAACT